TAAAGTATTATAAGGTATTTTATGTAAGTCTCATAGTATCCACAAGCAAAACTCTATTGTAGACTCACAAAAATAAAAAAATAAAGATAAGGATATCAGAGCATACCATAATGGAAAATCACCAGTTTAAAAAGGAAGGCAGTAAGAGAGATAGCAAGAAACAAGGGAACTACAAAACAACCAGAAATAAATTTGTAATATTAATTAGTCCTTTTAGTCTAGTGTTAGTTGCTCAGTTGTATCTGACTCTTTGCGACCCCATGGACTGTATCCTGCTAGGTTCCTCTGTCCATCGGATTCTCTAGGTAAGAATACTAGAGTGGGTTGCCATTTCCTTTTCCAGGGGAATTAGTCCTTACATATCAGTAATTATTCTAAATAGAAATGCATTGAACTCTCAAAAAAGGTACAGAAAGGCTGGATGGATTTAAAAAAGAAAAAGACCCAAGTACATGCTGATTACAAGAGAATTGTTTCAGCTTTAAGGACACAGTTAGGCTCAAAGTGAAGGAATGGTAAAAGATATTCCATGCAAGTGGAAACCAAAAAGAGGAAAGGGGTAGTGATACTTATATCAGGTAAAATAGACTTTAAGCCAAAAACAGTAACAAGAGACAAAGAAAGTCATAATATTGATACAGAGGTCAACTAAACAAGAAGACATAACAATTGGAAATGTATACACACTCAACATCAGAGCACCTAAATGTATTAAACAATACTAACAGATTTGAAGGGAGAAATAGACAACAGTACAGTAATAGTATGGAACTCTAATATCACACTTCCAGCAATGGATAGATCATCCAGACAAAATATAAGTAAGAAATTATTTGACTTGAACCATGCTGTATAACAGGTAGACCTAAAGGATACATATAGGACCTTCTACCAACAGCAGCAGAATATACCTTATTATCAAGAATGCATGGAATATTCTCCAGGATACATAATATAGTAGGCTACAAAACAAGTCTCAGCAAATTTAAGAAGACTGAAATCATACCAAGTGTCACTTTCAACCACAGTGGTAAGCAACTTGAAGTCAAAACCAAGAAACTGGAAAATTTACAAATATATAGAAATTAAACAACACAGTCCTGAACAACCAATGAGTCAAAAAAGAAATCAAAAGGGAAATAAAAATATATTAAAATATGAAAATGTAAAAACAACATGCTGAAACATGAGATCCTGTAAAAATAGTTATAAGAGTTTAATCAAATTATTGAATTGTTAATTTTGTCTTTAACTGTATTGGGGATGCTTTCTGTCATTATTTCTTTATATTATTTTCTGCACTACCCTCTCTTTCTCTTCTCTATGTCTGGGACCTTGCTGAAAGTGAAACTGAAAGTTGCTTAGTCATGTCCAACTTTTTGTGACCCCATGGAGTCCATGGAATTCTCCAGGGCAGAATACTGGAGTGGGTAGCCATTCCCTTCTCCAGGGAATCGTCCCAACCTGGGGATCAAACCCAGGTTTCCCGCATTGCAGGCAGATTATCAGCTGAGCCACCAGGGAAGCTCAAGAATCCTGGAGTGGGTAGCCTAACCCTTCTCCAGCGGATCTTCCTGACCCAGGAATTGAACCAGAGTCTCCTGCATTGCAGGTGGATTTTTACTAGCTGAGCTATCCAGGAAACCCTACCAGTGGCCTTGCTGGTACTCAAACGAATTAATTCAAAGATATCTACTCCAAGACCCAGAATAATAAACCTTCTAAAAACAAAAGGCAAAGGAAAAATCTTGAAAGGAGCCAGAAAGAAACAAAGTTTTACCTATACCTGATTGTAGAGCCATAGTCAAATACACTAGTGATGTAGGAGACAAATCGAGAGAGTGGTATCCTAGTGGCCGAGAGAGGAAATTGTTTCAAGGAGTGAGCAGTGCACAGCCTATCAGTGTTGACTTACATAGACTATAGACCAGTGGGATACCCCATTTTTTCTGATCCCTCAGACTTTCATGGAACCCTAATGGATAAATAACGACAGTTCAAATAAGTTTAAATTTCCTCTCAGACTGATAGAATAGGAATTGAAGTTCAAATAACCATTTTTGCTTGTTTTGAATTAGTTTTTGCACATATAGGTTTGTGGAGTAAAATTCATAGATACTTTCTACTTGTCAAATGAAATGTCTATTTCCCCAGCTTTTCATATAATGTTAATTTTACTTCTAGGGAGAAGATTTTCATTTTTGTGTAGTCTAATTTTCTTTGAACTTCATTGTATTCATTTCTCACTGTGGATTTGTGAGACTCCATGGTGTTGGAAGTTTGTGTTTAGAATTTTGGAAATAGTGTTTCATTTGGCACTGCAGATGGTGATTGCAGCCATGAAGTTAAAAGATGCTTACTCCTTGGAAGGAAAGTTATGACCAACCTAGACAGCATATTAAAAAGCAGAGACATTACTTTGTCAACAAAGGTCCATCTAGTCAAGGCTATGGTTTTTCCAGTGCTCATGTATGAATGTGAGGGTTGGACTATAAAGAAAGCTGAGCGCAGAAGAGTTGATGCTTTTGAACTGTGGCATTGGAGAAGACTCTTGAGAGTCCCTTGGACTACAAGGAGATCCAACCAGCCCATCCTAAAGGAGATCAGTCCTGGGTGTTCATTGGAAGGATTGATGTTGAAGCTGAAACTCCAATAATTTGGCCACCTTATGGGAAGAGCTGACTCATTTGAAAAGACCCTGATGCTGGGAAAGATTGAGGGCAGGAGGAGAAGGGGACGACAGAGGATGAGATGGTTGGATGGCATCACCGACTCAATGGATCTGGGTTTGGGTAGACTCCGGACGTTGGTGATGGACAAGGAGGCCTGGCGTGCTATGGTTCATGGGGTCACAAACAGTCGGACACGACTGAGCAACTGAAATGAACTGAACTGAGCTGAGCAAATCAGACACATTCTTTCATCATCTATAAAAGTACCTTTGGGGAATGCCGAGAATTTGGTATATCAGTTTATGGGAACATAATTTAAACTTTTGGGATCAAAAGTATATTGACATGCTTTGGTGATCCTTAAATATGTCTCAGGATGCTGCAACGTTGAGTTGTTCTTGTGAAAAAAGAATCGCATTCAAACCAAATGTTTGTACAAAACAGTTAGATGACTTGTTTTATGTGCTGTGTCATTTCTCATGATCCTTGGTTAATTACTAAAGGGGCATAGTGGTCCCTTATGTGTTGCTTTTAAAGGTAAACAAAACCTTAAAAGACACTATTTTAATCTACCCTTTGTTTCACTTCAGGTTTATAGGGTAAAGTCATGTGAAGTTACCCCACAGGTCATTACCCTTTGGTCACTAGAACCTGGATGGTACTTTGATGGAAGAATTGAATTTGTCAGTCTTAATTTTAGGTTGTTGTAAATTAAATAGCACTAAATACAAAGAATAACAATGCTCATTTTTCTTCTCAAGTAATATTTTTATTGAGTCTTTGCTGTATAAGTACCAAATGAACCACTTGGACATATGGGATGGCAACATAGGAAAAAGTTAATCCTGAACCTGATTTTATATTTATCTACAAAGTAGGCTGTATACTAGCTTCTGAAAAGATAGAATCCAGTTTATTCCCTTAGGAACTATTCTTTTTATATCAGTTGACATGGTTATTAATAACATAAAATGTGATATTTACAATATTTTCTGAAACATGTTTGGCCTTTATTATATTAGCTGTTTATTAAAAAGTAGCCAACCTGAATATCCTTAGGAGAAGGTTAAAGGACTTATAAGGAAAAGAGTGTTATTATATTGGAAAAAAGATTAGTAGACTTGCAGTGTTGGAGTCTGTAAACCCACTGCTTCGAGAATGATGAAGTTACTAACAGCGATTTCTTTTCATGACCTACCATATCCCCTCCTTTGGTAAAGGGTTCCCAGGATAATGCCATTTTTCAGTCTTGGGGGTGTTACCCTAACCATTCTAATTCCCATCTGTGTTGATGTTATTATTCCTTGGCTCATAACAGTGTCTTTTAAAGCAGTAGAAGTCTGTGGGACCTATGTATCAGGCTGAATGAGTCAATTTAATTATAATGAAGTACTTTAAATTTAGCCTATAAAAGCCTGGGCAAGCATGCTGTGTACAGGTAACACGACTTCAGAATGCCTGGACATACTTGACTAATTAGGACCATACCAACTGGCACTAACAGTTAAGTCTGATGAATATCTCTCCAAAGTGTTCTGAGACAATAGCATCTTCATAGAACCATTCCTCTAGTGCTTTTGTGATCTACTGAGAGAAGTGCTATTCCTCTTCTGATCCCAGCTGAAGGAGTCAAATCTTTCATGTTTGCTCTATCTTCCATTTTCTACCGCCACTCCACACTAAAACTTTTCTTGAATATCAATAAACTATAAATATTTTTTAAAATATTTATTTATTTATTGACTGTGGTGGATCTTTGTTACTGTGTGCAGGCTTTATGTAGTTGTGGTGCTTGGGCTTCTCGTTGTGGTGGTTTCTCTTGTTACAGAGCATGGGCTCTAGGTACATGGCTCAGTAGATGCGGCTAACAAGCTCTATAGCACTGGCTCAGTAGTTGTGGCCCATGGGCTTAGTTGCTCTGTGGCAAGGCAGATTGTTAACCACTGAACCATCAGGGAAGCCCTGATCTATAAATATTTACTACTCTCTTTGGATAAAGTTTTTACTCTTTGAGATGGGAAGGAAGTCAGCATTAAAACTTGCTCAGGTTTTAGCCTTGCTCATACCCCGTGAGTCTGTGTAAAATTCCACACATTTAGAGGAAAATTATTAGTTTTTAATTACACTACTGCACAACCCAGAAACATTTGAGTCCAATTAATATACCCTTCCTTCGCTAGAATTCCTATGGAACAATAGGTAGAACCCCTAAGACCTTCTAATCAGTGCATTATTACACACTTTAAGGAAATGAATAATCCTTGAATGAGTCTTAATTCTGAAGTATGAGATGAGTATAGTTCAAATAATGACATCAATCAATACATTTAAAAATTTTTATTTTTAGAGATTAAACAATGATTCATTGCAATTTTTCTGAATAAACAATTAGCAGTCTCAAAGATTGTTTCAATAAATTTTAAAATTAGAGCACAGATTGCATACAAATTGATTTTAAATATGCACAGTTTTGAAAATAACTGAAGAGTACTTAAAAGATCCAATGACATCAATCAATATATTTAAAATTTTTTTAGAGATTGAACAATGATTCATTGTAGATTTTCTGATGAAACAATTAGCAGTCTCAAAGATTGTTTCTATAAAACTTAAAATTAGAGCACAGATTGAATACAAATCAATTTAAATAGGCACAGTTTTGAAAAGAAATGAAGAGTACTTAAAAGATCCCATTGAATTCATGTGGCATTATTCCTAGTTTAATCGATAGTGTCTCAATTAAGTAAGTCCTAGCAAAAAACACTTATTGATTAATTATCTAGAAACTGGTAGCACTAAAATATTAAAATTTATGCATTCAAATGGTTTGTGTGTGTGCTTGTGTGTATGCATGAATGATTTGTGCTTTGCCTAATCTACTATTTTAACGATTATCCTTTCTGTTACCTGAGGCTCTTAACCTTACTTCAAAAGACCTAATCACACTGAACTTTTCTTGTCAGTTCTTTGCATATATCACATTTCTAGTTTTCAATGATTTCTTCTATTTTGGACAAGGGCTTTGGTGTAAAAGTTAAAGTACACTAAAATTAACTGTACTCTGTCCCAATGCTACTCACAGGCTGCCAGAACTTTCATGCTTCAACTTAGAGGACTTGGGAATTTGGCTTTCCAGGAATCCCTGTCAATGTTTCTGTGATGGGCCAGGGCTTCCAGGTGCTGCTGCTACAAGGTGAGGTGTAGTTACAATTTTTTCTTTACTATTTCATTTGACTATGAAACGCAATTGCTTCTTCATTTTCTTATTTCAGCTGGCAAAGGATGTAAAAATTCCAGATGGATTAAACATCTAAATTGGAAATATTCATTACCTACAAATGACTATTTCCAGTCCTTCCTAAGTTGGCTATCCAACATCTAATCTCCCTTCTTAGTATGTACCTAGCTTCCTTTCCTCATCAACACCTTATCATTTAATACTCAATTACACAATTGCAATCTCTCTTGCTTATTTACTTTGGGACACCTCTGTAGACGCAGTTCACTACTGTGTATATTTGCTAGAATGACAGCCACAGAGCACAATGGGAGTTGACTTCCTAAAATAGTTTACTGTCTTACTGTGTTAAAAATATGATTTAAGATAAAACTTATTTTTGAACCTTAACTGAGTAAATATTATGAAGAAAAAAATGAATTTTTAAAAGACTTGATTCTACACACTACTTAAATGAGAGAATTTACTGAAATTCAAACATAGCAAGCTCCATTTGCTCAGCGATGAGGTACTTGCACAAAGTTCCCCATGGCCTTTTTGGTGTACAAATTAAAAAGGAAGACTAGTTCTAAGGAAATAATTTGACATAAAAGTTTGTTTTCTCTTTAAACTACTGCATTTAAAAAGTTATTTGAGTTGTAAACACTCAAGGATAAGCCAGTTTTAAGATCACATTATTGTGTCACAGTAACAAATGCGAATCACATTTATCTTTAATTCATGGATTCAGGTTCTCCTAAATTCTCATTATTGAGCTACTACATTCTTGATAAAAGTTATTAGGAAAATCCAAATCATCATTCCTGGCACCTAGGTGCCAAGAAATAGTGTGCTATTATGAAATCACACATAGTCAGCTGCTTTTGTATTTTGGTTAACCAGGTAGTTTGAAAATTATTATCCCACTAGCACTGTCTTCAGATTTTAGAAGCAGAACTAGAGGAATTATAGTGAGGTATACTTTGTGGTAGTTCTGTTGCTTCTTTATTGCCCCAGAACTAACCATGGTATTGAGGATGGATATGCAGAAATGATGCTTTTCACCAGGTAGCAATTACCATAAGTGACCAAATGCCACCTATCTATGGCGTCTATAATATATAGGGGTGATGGACTAGCATGATTTTTTTCACTGCTATAAATTTGCAGACCTAGGTATTTGATGAAAGTTGTATTTTTTTCCAAATCTTTCCTTTTAATCTATTACATTAAGTCCCTACATGTGGACTTACCACTTTTAGATTAATTTCTGATTTTACAGAAACAGAACCATGAAAAACACAAGTATTAGGGTCAAAACTTTTTGTTGTTTTACTTTGTTATTTTTGCTTAATAACTGGAGGGAAGTTTTTCTATAGTTTAATCTGGGATCAGGAAAATACTTAAAGCTGTCTGATATAGACATTGTTGGCCAGATAAGAATTTTGATAAATCAACCAATCTACCTTTGGGATAGAACTTGACGCCTACTTTAAAGTATTAAAGAAATACAACTTATTCTACAGTACATATGTATAGGAGTTCAGTCCTGTAATCAGGCTTGCAAGTGTATTATTTGGTGGTTCTTAAAAATAGCTATTGCACATCTTTGGGGTTTCTGAGGAAAATCAACCATTTTAGGCTTTCTTCCTTTCCCATCAGGAGAAAGCCCCCTTAACATGGGATGAAAAGAACACAACTGGTCTCTAACTGTGGGCTTAACTGTCATGGAGCAATGAGGAAAAAGGGTGGCCTTCCCCCCTTTATCACTGTATTTTCTCCAGGTATGCAGGTTGTTCAGCCTTAGGTCTGGTTTATACCTAGTCCTTATTATTTTCATTTCATAATCTAACCTTTGGTTCTTTCTAGGACTTGGCAAATCTGTATATGGTTTGTTGCTATTTTGATTTTTTTCTGGGAAAAAAAAAAACCCTCATTCAGGGGCAACTCTTTTGAAAGCTGTTTGGAATCTAACTCATTACAGGTTTCTTAACTCCATGTTGTAAAATCCGAATACAGGTACTGTCCAAACTGTCCAAAGAGTAATATTTGAATTCACAGTAACAAAAGTTACAAAGTTTGTGCAAAAGATATTGTACACCATTGGAGTACATAGAGCTTGCTATAGTTAATTTTATATATAAAGCTGCATTTCTCATTAAAACTATTCTGTGCTACATTAAAAGTAAAGTATCTGATTTAATTTTTCCCTACCAGTAAAAGTGAATGCTCATTTAATCTCAGAAATTAAAAAATGCAGATTGCATATTTGTGATGCTTGTAATCAGTATAATAAATCATTGGAAACTTTTAAACACCATAACTGCTTTGGAGCTCTTCAAGTTTTCCAAGGGTCATGAAGTAAACCCGGCTGTGATGATTGCGCAGGATAGAGGTAAAGAATAGCTTTAAAAAGAGAGAAAGAGACAACATCAGTAAATATTTAATAAACTGCAAACTGATACTTGATAGGTACAACTATAATTTCAATTTATCTGTTATCAATCAATTTCAGAAAGAGATTTCCTTAAAGTATACAAATTCAAATGAGTATGGAGCCAAAATTATAATTTAAAAAGTACTTTTTACCATATTCTATATGACTGTACTTCATATAGTTTAAATAAAATTAAGTTTTTGTAGGTGACATTTACCTGCTAAAGTTCTCGATTGGTTTCATTAACAACTTTCCTTTTCTATTTTAAAAAAATCTACTTTTACTCAAGTTAGCTTTCCTTTTAATATATGGAAAATATCATATTATTTAGATGCAGTTCACACTGTCGCTGGTGCTAAAGTGGCCATTGAAATTTTCTACTTGGTATAATTTTCTATTTCAGTGTAATAGACTGACATCAATACATTGATATTATCAGCTAAACCTTAGAGAGGTTTATGAGACTTAGAGAGGAACATGTTGTGCAAATATGGTCTGTGCCATAAAGAAAATCAGGACAGTATAAGAATATAAATAGCAAACAGAAGTATCCTTGTTAGGACCAAGGTTTTCAACATCCACAATGGATATACTTAGGAAGGTGTGTGACATAATGATGAAAACAACACTAGCTACCCTTGACTTAACACCTTTTATGTGCCAGGCTGTTGACCTGTGAGATGCTTATTATGTATACATTATTGATAATTTTCAGAATTGTTCCAAGTTATTAATATTCCCACTTTTTAGATGAAAAAACTAAGGTTCAGAAAAACAAGTCAAACTTCCAGGTTCTCACATGTAGTTAGAGCTGGCACTGCATCCTAGATGTACCTGATCTCAATCATTGGTTCTTGCCATTATCTCTCTTTATATTATAAACCAGTACCTTTTATTGATGCCCAGTGCTTTACCCTGTTGGTTCTGATAATTCAAATCCTCTTAAATTTCTTATAAATGTGAATGCTTCCTAGTCTTATCCAAATTATTTTTTCATGATATTATTTCTCACAACATGTAGGGACTGTTCTGATATCATACAACTCATTTTTTCCATATAAACTATCTGAATTGGTTAAAATTGATCACATTACAGAAATAATTGCCAAATATTGATTTCCTTTTTCTTTTCTGTAAAGTGGACGTGATTTATGAAGATTACATATGATAGCCTCTAAAGTATTTAGCATAAACTCTACTATATGATTAGGTGTTCAACAAACATAATTAACTTTTTCCTTCTTCTGTTACTGGATTATGTTGAAAACTATAAAAGGCAGATCTACTCAAGCATTATCTTTCAAAATGTCATATTAATATGAACATGAAAAGAACTACACATCACAGGCAATAATGGAATTTGTAACAAATAGAAGCTAAGTTTTGCTTTGAACACAATTAGAATTTTTACATTTTTGAAAATGATTTCTCTTGAAACCAAATTTCATCATTTACCAAATCAGTGTTTCTAATGCAAATTGCAAATTTATTTTTATTATATTATTAAGATGTCAATTTGGGAAATATAACATAAATATATTTATAACCAGAAAGAAAACAATATAAATTTCATCAGTTAATTTTCATTGCTTGCTTTACTTTTGCCCTAACTGGGGTATGTAAACTATACCTTGTCACCTCGGGTACACAGAAATCTCAGCTTCTTAATTGATCTGCGCTTCAGTTCACTTTCCAGAACCCTTGACTGCAAAGAGCGGACTTCCATGGCCTTTTGGCCCCACCCTGTGGTTCTCTGAGAACACTCAAAAGCTACAATAAAAAATTTAAAAATCAGAAAAACACAAAATATTTCTGCCAGTGATGGAAAATTATAACTACAGCTAATGTTTGATTATTAAGAGGGACATTATTACAGTTTGGATTAATACATTCTTATTTTCCTCCTTCTAAGTCAGTAGTTTGGCCATTATGCTGCTCAACAGAATGTTCAAGCTAGCTATGTACTCTCATCATTGTGATCAACTATTCACCATAGTGAATAACTAGATCTAAGCAAATTTTTGTATTTACATTCTCCAACACCACAGAAAAAGCTAAAGGTTAATATTAACCTCTTTGTAGAAAATCAAATCTAGCCACAGTCATTCTTTATTTTATAATCTAGTTGGGGTACAACATCCTGTATGGGTTTGTACTTGTGCTGAAGTGACATACATGGAAACCTAACTCTTCAAAATTAAAACTATTAAAAAATGACTTGCTAAAATAATGACTTTAGCAACTCTAATGTAATTCAATTAAGTACCATGTTATAAACAGAACTAAAACTAATTTGACACCGTTAAGCCTTTTCTTGCTCAGGAATTTTTATTAAGATTAAAACTTTTGGGCCCTGCTTTATATTATTCAGTGACAATAAAGATTATGACAACTGCTTTAAAACAGAAGACCTAGTTATGTAAATAGCCATATAGTCAGCTGACACTGTATTTTCTGACATGGTGAGCAGTATTTTTTTCAACAACTGCATACAGCAAAATTTATAAACTTCATGCACAGTCTACTTGCCGAGTCCAAGTACACAGTTCATATGGCATTAAATAATTTCTACCTTGATTCTAAAGCACATTAATTTGCCACTTAACCTAGCTACTGAGCTAGCTTATATATGAGATAGAATCCAATGATTTAGTTGGGAATGCTTAATGACACTTGCTATGATTGCTGCATCTCTATGTATCTGTTTGAAAATCTAAAGCAATGATCTTATTAGTGAAAACATTCATTATACCTAAAGGAAATGTAAAATTTAGATTGGGGAAATCTGGATCTGGGTTAGCTTTAAATTAAAAAAGAAGTTGCATTTAGACAAAAAAGAAAGCAACTGATTTCCTTAATATTAGAGTTATAAAGCTATCTTTACATGCTCTCAAATTACCCTTAATACACAGACCAAAATATCTTCTCATAGTACTCTAATTTATTTTACATAAAGAGAGATGCTTTTCAATTTTAGTTACTTAAAATAGCTCTGTTTTAGGTTGGAAGTTGTCTTGCCTAAGGACAAGAACTGTAGCAGATGACTTAAGATCTTTTTGATTCCTATCATTGTTTAGTGAAATAAATATAGGGGTTACATTTCCCATTTAAGCTAAATTTCCTTATTCTAATTTCTGATTAATAAATTGATCACAACCACTGTAAAGGTTAGAACAAGACATTATTTTCTGTTTCTTTTGCCCCAGATCTGTCAATATATTGATAGCATTTACCTCTTTTCACAAAATGGTTTTAAACCCTCTGTTGAGTTCTTACCTTTTGAAGGAATTGGAGGTTTTCAGGACACTCCTTAACACTACGTATGCAAAAAGAAAGGATTCTGCAGATGCAATGCAATGTGCCATCATCCATAGTGAAAAAATGCCCATTAAAAAAGCTCTTTCAAATTGGTCCTTAAAGTCACATGTGGATCACATTTAGCCGTTTTATAGAGATTTCAGAAGCTTCTAACTTTTTATTGATAAACTACTTTTCTCTCTGTCTCTCTTATCTTTATGTCTTCCTCCTTTCCTTCCTTCCTCCATCTCTCTCTCCCCCTCTCCTCCCATTTCCTTTATTTGCTTCATTAAACTTATCCTCCTTTCAGGGACATTTCAACCAAAGCATTCTACTCTAGTATTTTTGCTGTTTATATGCGTTATTCTGTTTCCTATTTAGAATTATCTCTGTAATCATCAAGCCTCAGAGACATGTACGAGAGATTCAAGTTATTCAGATTTCCCAGATTGGTAGTCCTGTGTTGGTCAGGAATAAAAAAAAAAATGTCCTGGTCTAATGAAGATGAAAAGGCAGTTTTCTTTGTGTTGCCATCTGGGTAGTACCAAAGAGCATTTCAGTGAGTCATATTTATCTCTTTTGTAAACTAAGGATGATGAACTCTTAGTGACAATCAATGAGTCACATATGCAGTTTTGTAATTGATTCTTCACAGGAATATTACTGGCTAAACAGAACACTATTGACTGTACAAAATGGAAATATTTTGCTCCTCACTTATACTAGTTGGCACTCTCCTAAGATAAAGGAAAACCCCCAAATCAGTGTTATGGAATGAAGCATTTTCAACATATGTGTAAAATACGCAAGCAAAAGGAGTTAAAATAAAATGATAGATTATTATGGAAAAGAATCACTTTCCTATTTTAATTACATGATTATTGAAAATGAACTACTAAGACAGCCCAAATCAGTCTCTTTGTGGTAGCCTTGTGAAATCATTAAGCCTAAGAAAAGCATATACATTATCTTACAAGGGAATAAGTATGCAGTACTCCAAATTAACCCTAGATGCCTTGAGAAAAAGTGACACTTCAGGAAATAGAAGCTTTTCTGGGATCATCTGAAAGGAGAAAAATTTTCCACATACCTATGGAGGATGGTATGTCTTTCCACACATCAAGGATCTTCTTGAAGAGTTGTTCATTTGCTTCCACGGAAAGGGCTTCAGCATTGAAGGTGAGCATCATGCCAATTCCCAAGGAATCAGGTAAAATGATGATATTCTGTGGTATAATGATTTCCAGGGGCTGGAATTATGTTTCATAAGGATTTATATGTCCAACATTTTATCACTACTACTTTAATAGAAGCAGCTTGGCTGAACAATAAAGACCAAAGAGGGGTTTAAAGTACAGAGAGGAGAGAAATTTCTGTTTTAGTACTAAACAGCATGCTATCCAACACTTGAGAAGAGCTTTCCCTATGTCATAAGGTTGTTACTGTTTAATATTCTCCTATATTTTTAGGAGAAAAATCTTGTATGTAAAAAGCAGAATATATTTCTAACAGAGAAATCTGTGAAATTTCACTAAGTATTATGTATAATGATAGAAGAAACATCACTTATTTGATTTCAGATTCATTTTAGCACATTAATGAATACTAAATTTAGTAAGGAATGAACTAAGTAACAAATACAGAATCACTGGTTATCAACCAATTCATTCAAATCAGAAATAGAAAATTAAAATAGCTTGAGCTTAAATATTTACAAGGAACAGCTTTATAATATTTTTCACTGCTTGAAATATAAGTCATCCTCCCTTCAAAAAAGTATAGAATTTATTATCCAATTTACATTATCTTAAAATATCTTGAATTCAGAGAGGTATTAGGTGATGAAATATTAAGAAATATCTAAGAATTTCCAAATTTCATGATGCATAAAAAATGTGACAAAACTTGCCCAAACTATAGATATTGTCACATTAATCATCTTTCCCTTAAAAATGAACAATCAATTCCTCTTATCATGTCTCCAATTCAGTAATTTAAGGGAAAAAATGTCAGAAACTATACTTGCCAAACCCAGTGCACTCAGGCCAAGTGCTTGTGGCCATGCCTCGGTCTCAGCAACAACAATTCTTAAAACTAAAATGGGGATCCAGAGGCGAAAAGCAATTTTAATGCGTTCCCTGGGCACTCGCATGAGCAACTGAATCAGAAAAGAGATGAAGGAAGAGAGAAAAAGAAACTGCAAGAAAAAAGATTGTCTCAAAAATTTTGTTTAGAATAGAGCTGAGCTGCTGTGAATCCAGAAAGCCTCAGAGGTAATTCTCTTGCTTCTCAGATGATTCCTGAAGTAATCAGATATTCTTTTAGCACACATATTCTTTTAGCACACAAGCTCCCTCGTAGCTTTATAGCTTTTGTAATCTAGCACTTTTGGAAAAATTATTTTTAGTACATCCTGTTTCAGAAGACACTCTCTCCTCCCTTATATTAGAGTCCTTTCTCTTTTAATGGGTCAAGACACCAGGGCATTTAGCTAAAAATTCTATTTTTGAATTCACTTAAGGTACCCTAATTAGGCCAGAAAATGATTAAAAAAAAAAAAAAACTCCTCTTCTCTCATTGTTTCTATAATAATTAACAGATTGCTTGAAAAGAAAGTAATTCTTCTTGCTTAGTAGTCAAGTTGAACACAGAGTTCAATCTTACTGAATGACTTTTCAAATAAGTATAAACTTGGATCAATATTGTGGTTTTCAATAATGCATGATGTGATCTAAAAAAATAAGATGCAGGAAGTGATGGAAGACATTTCAAGTGAAGAGTACTATAATACTTATACTAAAACTAACCTGAACTCATATTTAAGTGGCTTTGGCTGGGGCTTGGTTCAGTGTTTTTGACATTATAAACAGTGATTTCTATATAATCATAGGTGACAACAGAATGATCATCTAATTAGATTGTTAAATCAGACCAAAACTTGAAAAAACAGTCTCCATTAATGATCTGACAATTGTTCTGTGTAATCTATCAGAGATATATGAGATATCTCTGAGAGTTGTGCAAAATATCACAATACTACAGTGACTCAGAAGTACAAAATGTTTTCTCCTGGACTTTTGTATAACACTAAACTGTTAAAACTTTAGTGTTTAACAAAATGGGGAATTTAAAAAGATTTTTTGAATCATCTCTTCCTTTTTAATATAATTTTCAACAGGAAAAATGTCATTTCTGCCATTAAATGTATATTGTGTGTGTGAATGTGTGAGGTATTATGTTTGAGCTCTTTATATAAATGATGTATATAGTATTTTTTACAACTATCCATATTTTAGATGCTGTGCCATATTTTCATGTTTATTATTATTTAAGAGTTGAGAGTTGATATGCATTAGCTTTTAAAATGTTGAATCCTTTGATCAGAAATTCTAAGTATAAAGTATACTATAAGAGAATACTTTATGATAACTTGCTATATATCATAGTTAAAGTACTACAATCTGGATTAAAAAAGGGCATATACATAATAATGCATAATGAGATGCAGAGAACTAAAAGCAAGGGTTGTAAACTCATATGCCTAAGAGGGCCAGTTATTATAAATACATAAACATGGATGGATAGAAAATGCATAGCATATGTTCCATCTAAAAGTGGGCAGGCACCAATTGGTTCCAGTTGATTATGGCCAGATAGTAATGTTGGATCATTGGTTTTTCAATAGAAATCCAGACTTTAAGTGTAAACTGGGGATATATTCGTTTAAAAACAAATACAAAACATCACTGTGCCAGACAAAGTCTATCTGCAGAACAGACTTAGCACTCTGGACTAAGAAACCATCAGTGATTTTTGTTTATCCATTACTACCTTCTGGCACTCAGTACTTACCTTTTAGGCCTCAGTTCTAATATAGATACTGGTGCTCGTATTTTTAAACCTTTCAAGAGTTTCACAGTTGGAAATACTCAAATTGTGTTATACAATAATTTCTAGGGATCTTACGTTATTTGGCAGGGTCACATCAGACATAACCTCAGATTCTGCATCAATGATGTGATATCCATCTGCTGAGCTGAAGAAAATCTTTAGCCTTTTTTCAGAACCAATAGCCAGGTCAACTGTCACTGGCTTATGACCAAGTGTTGGAAACACCTGTAGGTATAAAACCAAATATGGCCAAAAGGCCAAAAATGACACTCTGTCTAAGGTGAAAATTCTCCCGCCCATTTGCTTAACAGGTGTATAGAACCCAGAACTATTTTTTAAAATTACATAATATATTTAAAGACCTATGTATTACAACTTTTCTTAGATCTGTTAACTCAACAAGAACAATTATATTCAGTTTCTAAATATTGAGTTTTCCTTCAAAGGCCAAATCTCCAAAAATCATGAGTCTTATATGGCCTTGTATTCTGTGTGCTGCCTTTAAATTCCTTGCCTTGAGCTTCAGCAAATGAAGGAGCTCATCTGGTCTCTTAAACCGGTTTGCAGGATCAGCTGCCTGTATTTTTGCCAGTATTCGTATATAGGCTTCATAGGACATGTAGTCTCCTTCGGAGTCTGCTGATTGATCAATGCACACTTGGTAGGGAATGAGAAAGGCCAGACATGTTAGCCTACCATAGACTGGGTGTACTCTAGGCTCTTATGGTTCCTAGTCCAAGGAAACAAAAAGCCAAACAGGATACATTGCCAAGTTCAGGTCACAGTAGAGGACTGGGCATCATAGGTTTCACCATAATGAACTCATGTGGTGGGATTCAAGAACTGGAGTGAGGACTTAGACAAGGAACTGTATATCAGGCCAGACAGACTGTTGGTACTTACCTTCTTTGCTTCCCAGTTCCATACCAGGCAGCTCTGACCAACCAGCAGACACCCAGGAACAAACCCATATCCAAATACTGACAACTGACCCAATGCCCAATTTAGGGAGATCAGATCAGGGATGTGATTTGTGTCAGGACAGACCCAGACTATCTATATGGTAGTCTATGCTATTTATAAAAGAACATATTTATCATACAAATGTCTTGGCCAGTAAAAAATCTGCCCACGATGTGGGAGACCTGGGTTCGATCCCTGGGTTGGGAAGATCCCCTGGAGAAGGGAAAGGCTACCCACTCCAGTCGTCTGGCCTGGAGAACTCCATGGACTGTATAGTCCATGGGGTCGCAAAGTGTTGGGCACGACTGAGTGACTTTCACTTTCAGACATTTGAGGAGCAGTCATAAACATTAACCCATCTATATTGTACACATGTGATGTTTTAGCCTATAAAACATAATATGTAAACAGATCCTAACCTAAGATATGATTGTATTTCATTTGCTGGGGTCTATCATGATGTGTCCTTATCAGTGCTTTGAAAAACTCCATGGACCAACCAGTTCAAAATCTCCTAGGATGTTTGTTAAAAATATAGATTCCCCAGGCCCCACTCCAAACCTACTAATTTGGCCTGGAGTTGCGTCTGAGATCTAAACTTTTAACAAATGCTTCAGATGATTCTAAGGAGCTACTGGACTCTATGTAATACCACCAGTTCATTAATCAGTCTTTATTATTACATAATAAATGCAGAATAATTCTACTTATGTTGAGCTCTGAAGCACTGTAAAAAGATAATAAAGATAAAAGTAGTCTCCAGTTTATGAAATGTGATTAAAAATCATCAGCAACTTAATTGTTTGTGACACTAAATGGTTACCTTATGAGGCTGATCCATAGAAGTTCAGTTAAACCAAAATAAGGGTGGAAACAGTACTCGTAATCCAAATAAACCTAACCAGCATTCCTTGTAATAGTTCTAGAGAGAAATGTGTTTAGAGATCCAGCTTGGAAGGAATATAGAGCTACCCTTTCCTCCCCACTCCCACCTATTATAGTCCTGGTCATGAGAGCAAAGGCTTTCTTTTCCTTCATTCCTCTACCAGGGGGTTCCCCACTCTACCACTGTCACATCTTTCCTTACCTTCCCTCTGCTCTCCACCCCCCACTAAGAGAGAACAGGGATTTTCTCAGCTTCAAGTCATTAGGGTGGCACCCAAAGTTTGTGTTTGTGGCTTTAGAAGAGGAGGTCTTCATGTTAACTACAGGAATTGGGAGTGAGGAGCTGGTAGGGAGTTCCTGTAAGGGGAGGGGTCAGGGATTTCCCTCACATTCTCCCTTGGTTTGGTACCTGTGAATTGTCTAGAAAAGCGTTAAATGATAATTATTGGCATGGTATATTCAAATTACATTAACTGTAGAAGAATAGCATCTATATTTCTCCTACTATATTCCAAATACTGTTCTGTTTACAGTTTCTCAAAAGAAAACCCAAAGAAAATGGAGAGCACTCACTTTAATGGCAGTGCTTTCATCAAAGGACTTTGGTGCCCATGCATACAGGTGAATCGATGATTTCAAAGCAATTGCAATATATGTTGTTTCTTCATGTTGGACTACAGTGATAAAATACAAAGAAGTAACAATGCCACAGGGTTAACAAGAATGCTCAAGTATTTGTATTTGTTGTTAAAAATGTCATAACTATGACAATTAAGAAGGCAATAGCATCCAGAGTGATTTATGGATTCAATGCAATCTCTAAAATCCCAATGGCCCCCTATGCATAAACAGAAATGCTGATTAAAATTTACATGGAATTGGAAGAGGCCAAAATGCTCTTGAAAATAAAAAACAAAGTTGGAGGACTCACAGTTCCCAGTTTCTAAACTTATTATAAGCTATAGTAATCAAAACAGTGTAGTACTGACATAAGGATAGGCATATAGATCAATGGAGTAGAACTGAATGTCTATAAATAAAGTACATTCATGGTCATGGTGCCAAGAATATTCAATAGAGAAACAACAATTTCTTCATTAAATGGTACTGAGACAACTGAATATCTACATATAAAAAAATTAAAAAAAATAACTGGATGTCTTACCTTAATCCATATATACGATAATTAACTTGAAATGGATCAAAGACCTAAATGTAAGAGCTAAAACTATTAAGCTCTTAAAAGTAAATATAGAAATAAATCTTCATGGTAATAGATTCTCATATTTGACACCAAAAGCATAAACAACAAAAGAAAGAAACAGCTAAACTGGGTTTCATTAAAACTCACTCTTCTATGTATCAAAGGACACTATCAAGAGAGTGAAAAGACAAAGTATGGAAAAGGAATAACTATTTCCAAATCATATATCTGTAAGGGTCTAGAATCCAGAATATATAAAAAAATACAACTCAATAACAAAAAAATAAATAACCCAAGGGAGATATACAAATGGCCAATAAACACTTGAATGCTCAACATTATTCATGACAGAAATGCAAATCAAAACTATAATATGATGCCACTTCATACCCATTTGGATGGTTAGAACCAGAAGAAAGACATTTTAAACAATGAATTTATAATGGATAAACAAAAGATGAAATATTTATACAATGCAATGCTATTCAGCAATAAAAAGGAATACTGATACATGTTGTATTGGTTATAGCATGGATGAACTTTGAAAACATTATGGTATGTGAAAGAAGTTTGTCACAAAAGATCATATAATGTATAATTCCATTTAAGTAAATCATGGAGAAAAGACAAATCTATAGCAGAGAAAGTAGATCGGTAGCTTCTTCAGGTTATGAAGGGAATAAGGTAAGAGAAATTAAATGTGCAGTGATTGCTAATGGCCATGACGTTTCTTGTTAGAATGATGAAAATCAGATCATGGTGATGGTTACACAACTGTATAAACATACTGCAACTCACTTAACTGTACACTTAAATTGGGTGTATTTTATGGTATATAAATTATTTCAATAGAGCTTTTTATTAAAGAAAGCAAAAGTTTATAAAAAGTATATGCTTGCCCTTGGCCAGACCTTCTGGCTCTTATGAAATATGTTGTTCTACTTCTAGATTTATGTTTGTGCTAAATCCCTCTTCTTTGGCAGAGATACTGCTGCTATCTTCCCTAGCCAGACTTCATCTAAGACTAATATATAAGAATTCTCCCTCTCCTTTCCTCTCCCTTCCTCTCTCCTTCTCTCTCACTCTGTGTCTCTGCCTCTCTGAGTCTAGCTTCACCTTCTTTCTTTCTTTCTTTTAACTGTTCAGAAGTAGGTCAAAGAATTATTAATAAATTCTCCAACAAGCAAACAAATTCTCTTTTAAGCAAATACTGGTGATAATTTTAATATATGGCAGTAATTGGTATCAGTCCACTATTTTGTGGACCTTGGAAGGCTATGAAAATACCATGCAAGTATGGTTATGTTGTTATTCTCCTTTGGGAAGGAGCTACTGTTCCACTCATCAGTAGGACAAGTGTTACTGGTTGTTATGAGAGCTGGGATGGATTGGAATGCAATCAACTGGGAAAACTAGACTAAACTAGCCCATCTGTTTCACAAACGCACAGGACTATCTTTGCAAGGTTGACTCTCTTTGTAAACTCTCTTATTGAACTAAAAACTTGATTTTTAAGTTAGTAAGAGGTACTTCTGCTATATCAACTTCTGGGTTGACATCTGGGAATATTAAAGTAGTGATACATAAAACTAGAAGAAAATAGTACATTTTTATGCTTAAGTTGTCTGGGCACTCATTTCTACCTTTATTTATGTGTATGTACATATGTATATGGGTTTCCCTGGTGGCTCAGATGGTAAAGCGTCTGCCTGCAATGAGGGAGACTCGGGTTCGATCCTTGGATTGGGAAGATCCCCTGGAGAAGGAAATGGCAACCCACTCCAGTACTCTTGCCTGGAAAATTCCATGGATGGAAGAGCCTGGTAGGCTACAGTACATGGGGTCACATATGTATACATATATGAAACCTATCCTGGGAAAGCCTCTTAGTATGCAGAACAGAAATGGTCAGTCAGGATAAAAGTATCCTACCACAACTCATATTATGTGATTCTAACTATCTCTTACTTATGCCACTAGCTCTGACTGATAGACAATTAGTAAAGAGGAAAGAAGAAAAAAAAAGGCTAACAGTAGAGGGGATTTGCTTCAGAAATAGAAAGAATGGGAAAACATTACTTCCAAGTTGTTAAGAGATGACAGCGGGACTCTGAGACCCTGGATTTGTTACTCCATTCCACAGTGGATGGTTGTGAAGACAGAGGGGATATGAAAACACACTAATCAGACAGGAAATATTTTGCAATTATACTCATGAATATCATCAGTGGAAATGAGAGCCAGCAGATAATTGATGAATTTTCTTGTTTCTTGGTCAGTATTAAGAGGGATTTTCCAATTTTTAAAAAAGGAATCATTACAGAATTCTATTTTATTGCTGTTCCAAGGAAAGACAATGTCATATAAATCTACTTGCAGGTTACTGAAGACACATTAACATTTATGCAGTTGAAGTTAAATAGAAGCAGGAAGAAACATCAGTTAATGTGAACTAATTAGAGTGAGTGGGAAGGGAAGAAAGGAGAAAAAGTAAACCAAATTTAACTTCAATAGCTATTTCAGTCAATCAATAGTTTTTCAATAACAGCCATTATTGTGACATAAAAGACTTGAAAGATGTCTCAGAGAAATTTACTTATTTTTGTATTTGAAGTTGCAAATGTTTTCCTTTCTCTACTTTGCCTTCCACAAGAATGTACTTCACCAAATGAAGGGAGGCAAAATTTATATAGCTGAAGTAAATGGCAACATATTCCAGTATTCTTGCCTGGGAAATCCGAAGGACTAGGGAGCCTGGCAGGCTACAGTCCAAGAGGTCGCAAAAGAGTTGGACATGGCAACGACTAAACAACAACAAAAACAAACATGAAATGAGACTTACGGACACTGAAGTGTTCACAGCCTGTCAATTTATCAATTGCTTTGCAGGCTTCTTCTGTTTTGAGCATTTCCTCTTGTCTTCTTTTGCTTTCTGGATCATCATTCAAAATCTTATTTCTCAGCCAGGTCAAATGATACACTCGAAGTCTGTTCTTACGGCCTGATAGATAAGAAAAGACACAATGTTTTAATTCAGTCTATTTTTTTTTTTACATATTAGAAGAACAAAAAAAGGTAAAGGTATTTTGTCTTTTTAATCAAATCTTTTAATTAAAGTAAAAAGCACTTCTGAAAAACTATACTGCAATGAGTCTCCCCTTTAGAGTTTGGAAATTTGATAGCAAAGTTTCTTGTAGTCTCTAACTTCCAAGAGATAGCTGAAGTGTCTACCAGCTATCGATGTAGAAGTGAGTGTACAACACTTCTTTGGAACAGGTTAAGACTGCTACTATGTGGGCAACAGAATTACCATCCATTCATCTGTACCTTAGCTTTTTATCTAAGCCATGACTTTTTTGGGACTCAGAGACCTAGAAGCTATCTCCAGTAATGTGCATATATGAGAAGATATGTCTGGTGTATTGACTGTTAGGCATCCTCAGCCAGTGAGATGGATCTCTCTTTTTGTACTCTTTCATTCCAGTAAACTTACAAAGAAATCAAACAGTTTATTATTTTTTCTCAGCCCAATCTATCTTTAATGTTATTTTGTTAATTGTAAATCCCATCAAAATTCTTACAGTTCTTTCAGAAAAACAAGCCATTAAAATCACACATTTATCTTCATATATAGTGACTTTATAGTCATTTTTAGGATTTATGACTATAAGATTTCTAGGCCCAACAATAAGATTCATATTCATGTAATCTTAAATGTATTTTGATACATTTTTGAGCAGTGTTAGAATTCAAGTATCTATATCTATTGTCAATCTGTTATCAAATAATGAAGTTGAGCTCCAAACTATCAGGTATCTTTCTATACTGACATTCTCTGTACTATCTGATGCAAAAATAATCCACATTTAAAAGAAACTTCAGCAATAAAAAGAGAATATTTGGGTTAGAGAAAGCTGGATAAAAATAAATCTGTTATCCAGATGTGTAGCATGCAAGCCATCCAGATGTATTCAAAAACTAAATGTTGCTTCTGTGTGCCTCAAACAATTATAAATGAATGGCCATAAAAAATGATTTAGAAAATCATGATTCTTTGGTATATATTTCTAGAGGACTTTCTCTAACCAAAACTTAAAGCAACATTAATCATATTTAGGACTATACATAATCATTAATTAATGTGCAATATCATTATTAGGTACAGATAGGAAGTATATAAGAACATAAAAATTACTGTTATTAGCATCATTTTATTCTACAGTTAAAACATTTAACATTTTTTCCTAATCTTTCAAGAGTAATTTTTTGCCTAAAATCAGCATTAATGTTAGTGCTTTCCTGATACCAAGTACTATTTGGTAATCACAATGATTTTTAACATCCATATACTTGATCTCTCATGTTCCAAGGGTCAGGCTCTGACTGAGCCAAACTAAAAAGTTCAACTACTATGTGGGAAGAATAGAGGATCCATTCTTGTTACTAGCCTTATCTGTAGACCCTTATTATAGGGCTGTGGTAGGTACAACAGAGTTTCATTTTTATCCAGTTACTGGCCTCTTTGTTCCTCCTTGCTTCTAACACATCACAGGAAAGGTATATAGTGGAGGTTACTGTGGTGGTGAGTGCGCGGGTGGCTGAAGCTGTGACTCCCAAAGTTGTGCATGGTTACTGAGAGAAGACCTGATAGGATGCAAATAGCATGTTTTTTCCTTTCCCTGACCTAGTACAGGTACACTGCAATCAAATATCCAGACATCAAAGGAGAGTCAGAAGTTTAAATTGTAAATAGTTAAGAAAATACAAGTAGGAAAGCCTGCTGTCCCAATTAAAGATTATATTTACAGTGCTTTCTTAGGAACACTTTCACTTGAGAAAGTCTTTAGCCCAGTTTACAACCTAATTAATCTGCATAATGACTCAGCTAATTTTAGTTCTAAAACAAACCGGAGATGGTAATCAGCAAGTTGAGTGGCTCTACAACTTGAATCTGACGGAATGGTCTTCTCTTTATAAGTTTAGTAATGTCTGCCTTTCCACTTCTGTCCATCAGATACAGATTCGATCGAGTTCCCAACAGCAAATTCACTCCTGTTCATATATAAAAAGAAAAGTGCTATATTAGCTCAGATTACATGTTTATAATTGCATTTATATTAGTATTTTTGCTCCTCCAGTGTGCTGATCTATGTAAAGGTGATGTCTGTCATTTTAAGTTACTGTTGATTTCATTCTGTGTAACAGGGAACTCTCTACTAACAGAACAAATTTATTTTCATTAAAATATAGAAAATAACACCCTTTGGTAATATTCTACTGGCTGGAGTCTGGTATGCCATCACACAGATAGAACTTTATGTATATCTTAGTACCTTTTAGTAATGTCCCAAACTTTACAAAAATCAGTTAACTCTTTTGAAAGTTACTATAAAATATTAATGAGGCCTAGTATATATAAAGACTATATTAAAAAAATTAACTATTTTTTAATTGAAGGATAATTGCTTTACAGAATTTTGTTGTTTTCTGTCAAACCTCAACATGAATCAGCCATAGGTATACATATATCCCTTCCCTCTTCTTGGTTTCTCATTCCTAACAGGGATTTAATACTTTTAAATAATTATATGCAAATTATTTTAAAATTGAATGATTCTGTGTTCATGCATATATTAAAAAACTTATATTGCTGAATGTCTATAAAATTAGTTCCTATTTCATGTATTTACTTTCCTATACTCTGTTATTTGTGTGCTGGCTCTATTCATTAAAATAGAAGCACTGTTTAAAGACTGAATGAGAAGACTAAAATAGCAGATTCAACTAAATTTAAAACGTACTTCAAATGGGGATCAGGATCAAGACAGTGGAGTAGAAAGACCCTGAACACACCTCTTTCCATGGGCACACAAAAATTACAACTATTTACAGAGCAACTGTCTATGAGAATGACCTAAAGGCTAGCAGAAAGATTTTCTGCAACTAAAAACATAAAGAAGGAGCCACAACAAGATGGGAAGGAATGACAGAGATGCAGTTTAGTAAAGACCCATATCCAAGAGCTGATGACTAATAAACAAGAGGTTCTTCCCAAGGAGTTTGGCATCCAAGATGCACATTGGGTTCTCCAGCCTGGGGGTCTGGCACTGGGAAGATGAGTTCCTAGAACAACTGGTTTTGAAAATCAAGTGGCTTCCCTGGTGGCTCAGAGGTTAAAGCGTCTGCCTGCAATGCGGGAGACCCAGGTTCAATCCCTGGGTCGGGAAGATCCCCTGGAGAAGGAAATGGCAACCCACTCCAGTATTCTTGCCTGGAGAATTCCATGGACAGAGGAGCCTGGTAGGCTATAGTCCACGGGGTTGTAAAGAGTCAGACACGACTGAGCGACTTCACTTTCTATGTTCAGGAGAGCTGAAGGGCCATAAGTAAAAGAAATTCCATTCTTACAGGGCATGCACAAAATCTCATATGCTTCAAGTTTCAAGGCAGACACAGTGGTTTGAAAGGTGCCTGGGTCAGACCCACTTGTTGATCTTGGAGAATCCCCTTGGAGAGGCATGAAGTAGCTGGGACACCTTTGGGGACTGAGACACTGGCAGCGGCCATTTGGGGCATCTTGTTTTACCATGATGACACATATTACAATCTTTTATATTTAAAAATATAAAACCACAAGTGATTAAAATTGGTTACTAGACATTAAGCTCATCCCTGGGTAGTTGCCTGGTTGAAATGATAATGAAGTAGACTGCTTTTTTGTTATCTGACACATTACATTAGTAGAACTTTGAGGATGGCTTATTTTTTTTTTTCTCACAAAACTATAATATTTGCTATACTGCTCTATCTTTAATTTAAAATTCTGTCTCCTGTTCAATCATACATTAAGCAAAATCTATGAAACTGCAGGTTGGAGGTTGGCATTTATTTTGGCTTTTTCACTTCCTTGCATTCATTTATTCTGTTTCATTTATGATTCAGACTGGCTTGAGGTAAAAAAATTGTCTCAGAATTACCAAGTGGCTAAAATTCTTCTGGAATAAAGGATTGAAGAAGTCTGTCAAAGTTAAGATATTATACAAGGAATTTTGTCTACAAATCCTCAAGATATTTTAAAAACACGAACTTGAAGAAATTTCTTGCAATAATCTCATTAGGCATTATACATTGCATTCTATCACAAACTAAAAATATTAAGCTTGAATCTTCAAATAATTATAACCTATATCTTCAAATAATTATAACCTAGTCCAATTTTCGGAGAAGGCAATGTCACCTCACTCCAGTACTCTCGCCTGGAGAATCCCATGGACAGAGGAGCCTGGTGGGCTGCGGTCCATGGGGTCGCAAAGAGTCGGACACGACTGTGCGACTTCACTTTCACTTTTCACTTCCATGCATTGGAGAAGGAAATGGCAACCCACTCCAGTGTTCTTGCCTGGAGAATCCCAGGGACGGGAGCCTGGTGGGCTGCTGTCTATGGAGTCGCACAGAGTCGGACACGACTGACGTGACTTTGCAGCAGCAGCAGCAGTCCAATTTTATATTTTAGCAAAGTTAATTCAGGTTATAAAGAAAAACAGAATGAACAGGAGAGGGAGCAATTCAAACATCAAACTGAACTGAGTGAAAATAAATAAGAAAGTTAACTACTCTCTCTGTGTGTAGATACATGTGTATATGTATGTTTAATAACATATACAAACACATACACACACACACACATACTTGGAAATGAGGAGGGCATGGCAACCCACTCTAGTATTCTTGCCAGGATAATCACTTGGACAGAGAAGTCTGGTGGGCTATGGTCCACAGGGTCACACAGAGTCAGATAGGATTTAAGTGACTTAGCATGTACGCATAATTGAAAACAGTTGTGCTTAGTCGCTCAGTCATGTCCTACTCTTTGCAACCTACTAGGCTCCTCTGTCCATGGGGATTATCCAGGCAAGAATACTGTAGTGGGTTGGCATCCCCTTCTCCAGGGGATCTTTCCAACCCAGGGATCGGACCTAGGTCTCCCACATGGCAGGTGGATTCTTTACCATCTGAATCACCAGGGAAGCCCTGAAAACAGTTTGTCAATAGCAAATAAATATTTTATATCTGTGCTTTCACACTAGTTTTTATATAGATAAAAATGTACTCTTTAAAATACAACAACTCAGTTTTAAGAAATCAAACTTACCCCACAAAGAACCACAGCAGATCTCAGAAGTGAATTCCTTTTCATACATGTGGATTAGTGGTTTTTTACATTCATAAGAGACATATAATGGGTTAACGTTAACGTCAGAGGGTCGCTTAGATGATTTCTCAGGTACTTCCACTAATCCAGCATATACTGTGAAGAGAAGATATTGAGAGAACTTACTACTGTGTACACCATATGCACTTGAGTGTTTTACAAACGAGACACATTTGCATTATTTTTTATGGAGCTATCATTTCTATAACTCATAGATCATCAGATGACACAAATCAAGACAGAATATATTTCTGTATATGAATGCATTTCAGGTTACTGTGATTAGATATCAAATAAAATCTAGATGAGGGAGCCAATTTCTCAATTACAGTTCGAATTTAGGTGCTATAAAGATTTAGTGAAGAGTAGATTAAAAAAAAATCCATCAGAATTTATGTCAACTGAGTATCAGAATGACTTGATTCTTTTCTGATAATGAACCAGTGATCAAAAACTGTATTTAATATGGAACAGATTGCAGCATTTGAAGATTATATTAAATACACTTACAGATGGCACTGGCAAAGTCAGCATTTGCAGTCCTTTCAGAATCATTGGAGGGAGATGAGTGGCTGGCAGAGAAACCTGATTCTGTTGATACTTCTGATATATCCACAGTGTCATTCTCAGCATCAAGTACTGCAGGTGCAGCACCTGGGGCAATGGCATTTGAGGCCTCACTTCTACCGCCTGACTCCTAAAAGATGATCAAAAATTGATTTTGACTTTATTAGGAAATTAACAGTGAGAGAAATGTAAGATGCCTAGGGGTTACTTGAAAGAGGGAATGAAAATTTTGTAACATCTGTAATTCTTCATCCTTATAAAACCCACATTTACCAGTAGAACTCAGTAATGTTAGCAGAAGAGAAAGAACTAACTTATATTGAGACAACTGATGTCAGAACAGAAATTCATGGAGCATGAAATCCTCAGATATATAAATTGAGGACTTAAAATTTGTGGAATTTTTACTATGCATCAGATACCCTGTTAGGCATCTTATTTACAGATTGTTGTGAATCCTTGCAACAACACCAAAAGTAAGTTTGATTATCTCCCTTTTACTTATAAGGAAACTAAAGCTTATTGAAGTTAAACAATCTATTCAAAGTCATGTAAATAATTAGGGGGATTAAAGTTTGAAGCCAAAGTCTGTCTGATTCCAAAGTTTATGCTTTTAGTTATGTTATGTCAAACAGCTTCATGAAAAAATAAAAAGTACTGTTGTGCTGGATTCAAGTTCATTTTGTCAAAGGACAAAGCTAATGATAGAAAATCAACCAACACAATTTCAAGAGTGTGAAAATGCTTCAGTGAAGATCTAGTTAGAGTCTATTAACTTACAGACAAGAAATTCAAGAATAAAGTCACAAAATGTGACAGGATTTATGTGGGATGCCATATCCGGTGGAAAAACAGCAATTCTTTTTGGTAAGCATGTTTGTCAATAAGCATTTATGTGAACAGTGATTCTTGGCATTGATACAGTTATCTTGTCCTATCATAAACTTGTTTTTATGACCTTTCCTACCATAAAAGTGTTATATGGCAACATGTCCTTTTAAAATGAAAATGAAAGGAAGATCCATTCTCTCTGCAAATGTTTAAAACATTTCTTAAGATAACTGGAGATACCCCGGGGTGCTATTAAAACCATGCTGGGACATCTTTTTTTAATGTCTTTAATTAAGATAAGTAGGTAGGCTGTTAGGTAGGTAGGTAGGTAGGTAATAGCTACCTTCTAGGATGGATGAATAGATGGGTGGATAGAAAGACAAGTAGATAGACTGACAGGCAGGCAGACATAGATTCCTTTCTACTGATATTGCTTTCCTATTGGAAACCAACTAGGGAGTTTCTTCCTTCCTTTTTTTTTTGCTGTTTTGTTTTGTTTGTTTCCTTCCTTCCTTGATTTCTTTTTAAAATTAATTAATTTATTTTAATTGGAGGCTAATTACTTTACAATATTGTGGTGGTTTTGACATACATTGACATGAATAAGCCATGGGTGTACATATGTCCCCCATGCTGAAACCCCTCCCATCTCCTTCCCCATACCATCCCTCAGTGTTGTCTCAGTGCACCGGCTTTGAGGGCCCTGTTTCATGCATCAAACTTGGACTGGTGATTTATTCCACATATGGCAATATACATGTTTCAATGCTATTCTCTCAAATCAGCCCACCCTTGCCTTCTCCCACAGAGTCCAAAAGTCTGTTCTTCATATCTGTGTCTGTTTTGCTGTCTCACATATAGGGTCATCATTATCACTTTTCTAAATTCCATATATATGCATTAGTATACTGTATTGGTGTTTTTTCTTTCTGACTTACTTCACTCTGTATAATAGGCTACGGTTTCATTCACCTCATTAGAACTGATTCAAATGCACTGTTTTTAATAGCTGAGTAAAATTCCATTGTGTATATGTACCACAGCTTTCTTATCCATTTGTTGGCCAATGGACATCTAGGTTGCTTCCCTGTCCAAGATAAATAGTGCAGTGATGAACATTGGGGTACATGTGTCGCTTTCAATTCTGGTTTCCTCAGTGTTTATGCCCAGCTGTGGGATTGCTGGGTCATATGGCAGTTCTATTTTCAGTTTTTTAAGGAATCTCCACACTGTTCTCCATAGTGGCTGTACTAATTTGCATTACCACCAACAGTGTAAGAGGGTTCCCTTTTCTCTGTACCCCCTCCAACATTTATTGTTTGTAGACTTTTTGATAGTAGCCATTCTGACTGGCGTGAGATGGTAATTCATTGCAGTTTTGATTTCCATTTCTCTGCTAATGAGTGATGCTGAGCATCTTTTCATGTGTTTGTTAGCCATCTGTAAATCTTCTTTGGAGAAATGTCTGTTTAGTTATTTGGCCCACTTTTGGATCAGGTTGTTCGTTTTTCTGGTATTGAGCTGCATGAGCTCAATGAGCTCTACATGAGTTGTATATTTTGGAGATTAATTCTGTGTCATTTGATTCATTTGCTATTATTTTCTCCCATTATGAAGGCTGTCTTTTCACCTCGCTTATAGTTCCCTTCTTTGTGCAAAAGCTTTTAAGTTTAATTGGGTCCCATTTGTTTATTTTTGCTTTTATTTCCATTACTCTGGGAGGTGGGTCATAGAGGATCCTGCTGTGATTTATGTCAGAGAGTTTTTTGCCTATATTTTCCTCTATGAGTTTTATAGTTTATGGTCTTACATTTAGATCTTTAATCCGTTTTGAGTTTATTTTTGTGTATGGTGTTAGAAAGTGTTCTAGTTTTTTCTTTTACAGGTGGTTGACCAGTTTTCCCAGCACCACTTGTTAAAGAGACTGTCTTTTTTCCATTGTATATTCTTGCCTCCTTTGTCGAAGATAAGGTGTCCATAGGTGTGTAGGTTTATCTCTGGGCTTTCTATTTTGTTCCATTGATCTATGTTTCCTTGTGCCAGTACCACACTGTCTTGATGACTGTGGCTTTGTAGTAGAGCCTGAAGTCAGGCAGGTTGAGTCCTCCAGTTCCATTCTTCTTTCTCAAGATTGCTTTGGCTATTTGATGTTTTTTCCATTTCCATACAAATTGTGAAATTATTTGTTCTCGTTCTCTGAAAAATACCATTGATATCTTGATAGGGATTGTATTGAATCTATAGATTGCTTTCGATGGTATACTCATTTTCACTTTATGATTCTTCCAATCAAGAAGAGATGGTATACTGGTATATACCAATCAAGATGGTATATTTCTCCATCTATTTGTGTCCTCTTTGATTTCTTTCATCAGTGTTTTATAGTTTTCTATATATAGGTCTTTTGCTTCTTTTGGTAGATTTACTCCTAAGTATTTTATTCTTTTTGTTGCAATGGTGAATGGAATTGATTCCTTAATTTCTCTTTCTGTTTTCTCATTGTTAGTATATAAGAATGCAAGGGATTTCTGTGTGTTAATTTTATATCCCGCAACAGTATTATATTCATTGATTAGCTTTAGTAATTTTCTGGTGGTGTCTTTAGGGTTTTCTATGTAAAGGATCATGTCATCTGAAAACAGTGAGAGTTTTACTTCTTCTTTTCTAATCTGGATTCCTTTTATTTTTTTTTCTTCTCTGATTACTGTGGCTAAAACTTCCAAAACTATGTTCAATGGTAGTGGAGAGTGGGCACACTTGTTTTGTTCCAGACTTTAGGGGAAATGTTTTCAATTTTTCACCATTGAGGACAATGTTTGCTGTAGGTTTATCATATATGGCTTTTATTATGTTGAGGTATGTTCCTTCTGTGCCTGCTTTCTGAAGGGTGTTTTTTTAAATCATAAATGGATGTTGAATTTTGCCAAAGGCTTTCTCTGCATCTACTGAGACAATCATATGGTTTTTATCTTTCAATTTGTTAATGTGGTGTATTACATTGATTGATTTGCAAATACTGAAGAATCCTTGCATCCCTGGGATAAAGCCCATTTGGTCATGATGCATGATTTTTTTAATATGTTGTTGGATTTTGTCTGCTAGAATTTTGTTGAGGATTTTTGCATCTCTGTACTTCAGTGATATTGGCCTATAGTTTTCTTTTTTTGGCATCTTTGTCTGGTTTTGGAATTAGGGTGATGGTGGCCTCATAGAATGAGTTTGGTAGTTTACCTTCCTCTGCAATTTTCTGGAAGAGTTTGAGTGAAGCCATCTGGTCCTGTACTTTTGTTTGTTGGAAGATTTTTGATTATAGTTTCAAATTCTGTGCTTGTGATGGGTTTGTTAAGATTTTCTATTTTTCCTGGTTCAGTTTTTGAAGGTTATACTTTTCTAAGAATTCATCCATTTCTTCCAAGTTGTTCATTTTATTGTCATATAGTTGCTGATAGTAGTCTTTTATTATCCTTTGTATTTCTGTGTTGTCTGTTGTGATTTCTCCATTTTCATTTCTAATTTTGTTGATTCTTCCTTGATTTCTTACCATAATTATTGTATGCCTACCATAAACCAAGCCTGAGGTTGGACCCTGGGACTGGATGTGTAGGTGAAGAACAGTTGTCAAGGGTGGATTAAACATAGTATGAGTTGAGTCATGAAGGATGAGTAGTTCAAAAGCAGAGAGGAGTTAAGGGGAAGCCATATAGACAGAGGAAATTGCAGGCATAGGGTCATTAATTCATGAAAGCACAAGTCATCTTTTATGTTAGTTTGTATGATAGGACGATGGGCTGGTGAAGTAAATTGGAGTGATAATTCTTCTGTCTGGAATCTTAGCTCTGTTTTCAGATAACCAATATTCCACATTTGTCAAGAACTATTTCAAATAGAACATGTTTCAAGAAATCTTCTCTGTGATAATTCCTATTTATCTACCATCTGTGAAGCTACTTGGGTATTTTTAAACTTATCTATAAAGTCAGTAAATGTTTTTTGAATGTCAAAATCATTGTCTAAACACAGTACATTACTTCTGTTTAAATTGTCTGTGTTAACAGTTCCTCAGAAAGTTAAAATACAAGCTAATAATTCCATTCCTAGGTATACAGATCAAATAACTAAAAATTGCAGCTCCAACAACAGATACTTGTACAGCAATGTTCACAGCAGCCAAAGATGAAAATGACTCAAGTGTCTACCAAAAGATGAATGGATAAACAAAATGTGATATATTCATACTATTTATTAAGTCTTAAAAAGGAAGGAAATTCTGATACATGATGATAAATGGATGAATCTTGAAAATATTATGCTGAGACAGACAGAAAAAGACAAATATTGTATGATTCTGCTCATATAAGGTGCCTATACAAAAGTATAATGGAGGTTATTGGGAACTTGGGAGGATAATGGGGAGTTAATTGCTTGAGGTGATAAAAAATCTCCAGAAATTAATAGTATGTACAACATTGTGAATGTACTTAACTCCATTGAACTGTACACTTAAGAATAGTTAAAATGTGAAACTTTCTGTTACATGTATGCTATCACAATAAAAATCTCCCAGAAAAAATGTATGTATTAAGAGACACTATCCCAAGCATACTGTTAATGGGGTTCTCCATTTTTCCTTCTCCATTTCCTTATCCATTCCCTTCTCCATTTTCCATTTCCTCTTGATGAAAGTGAAGGAGGGGAGTGAAAAATCTGTCTTAAAACTCAACATTCAAAAAACTAAGATCATGGCGTCTGGTCCCATCACTTCATGGCAAATAGATGGGGAAATAATGGAAACAGTGACAGACCATCTTCTTGGGCTCCAAAATCACTGCAGATGGTGACTGCAGCAATGAAATTAAAAGATGCTTGCTCCTTGGAAGAAAAACTATGACCAACCTAGACAGCATATTGAAAAGCAGACATTACTTTGCTGACAAAAGTCCATCTAGTCAAAGTTATGGTTTTTCCAGTAGTCATGTATGGATATGAGAGTTGGATCAAAAGAAAGCTGAATGCTGAAGAATTGATGGTTTTGAACTGTGGTGTTGGAGAAGACTCTTGAGAGTCCCCTGGATTGCAAGGAGTTCAAACCAGTCAATCCTAAAGGAATCAGTCCTGAATATTGATTGGAAGGACTGATGCTGAAGCTGAAACTCCAATACTTTGGCCACCTGATGTGAAGAATTGACTCATTTGAAAATACCCTGATGCTAGGAAAGATTGAAGGCAAGAGGAGGAGGGAACAACAGAGGATGAAAAGGTTGCATGGCATTACCGACTCAATGGATAAGAGTTTGAGTAAGTTCTGAGAGTTGGTAATGGACAGGGAAGCCTGGTGTGCTACAGTCCATTGGGTCACAAAGAGTTGGACATGACTGAGTGACTGAACTGAACTGATCCCGAGCATATGATCTGAGTAATAAAGGTGGACAAAGAAGATATTTTTGTTCTTGGAAGAAAATAGGAAGCATACAAATTAGAAGAAATAAAGATGTATCTACAGATATAATTTAAAATGTTTAAGAGACTTTGGAATAAAAGTTTAAAATATATTTGTAATGGCTGGAAATATGACATATCATGAAGAAATGCATTTACAAGGAGATGAATTAATTCTCATTTTCAAATGGTATATTACCTCTAGTTGATGTTCAAATTCTTGGAATGCTGGTTTCTCCAATATTGGATCATCTGTCTCTGAGCAATTTTCGCTTCCATTTAGTTCTTGGGCTTCACTCTCTTCATTGGTTCCACTGACTCCCTCATTTTCATTACTCTCCTTGCCTCTTCTTCCACTGCCTACATTCGCGCTGTGCTCTTCATGGTCTCCAATGGCTGCACTGTCCCCACGGGCTGCACTTCCTCCATGGCTTCTATTAACTCTCTGACTTCCATAGCTGCTGAAAGATCCTTCTCCTCTATCACTTCCATCTTTACCATCTTGCTTGTAGCTTCTGCCTCTGCCACAGCTTGGCCTGATAACAAGATTCAATTAATGATAGTCACCCAATGAAAATAAATGTCAACAAATGAAACAAAATTAGATTGACTAACACATATGTATCATCTCCAGGAATGTTTTTGCTCTATGTGAACACTACTGGTATGATATAGATATGAAAAATACCCTTATGTCCTGTCAGTTTTAATACTGAATTAACATCATGGTCACCATCAACTCCCTGGCTACATTTTCATGACAGATGGAAAAGGATTTGTATACTGTATTAGGAACATGTATTAGGCTAGCAGCAATAATATGTTTTTTTCCTTAAATCATAGACTATTTCATACATTAGCAACTTCACAGCCACATGAATGATCAAGCCCATATTTTTGGCTCAACCACAACACATTTGAATATTTCTTATATTTAATTTATGTTAATTTAAACACATGCCTTGATCTTCTAACATGTGTATCATCCATTATGCAACAGATTTTCATTGATTGTTCTATTACTATCACCAGGAAGTTCAGTAATATAGATCTCATTTAGTTAATATAGTCACTTAATTACTTGCTAGGACCACCAAGCTTAGCAAAATGTCTCAATAAACTTTCGCATAAGAGACAACATAAATAAGTAACTATGATAATTCTAAAAGCAAACGAATTTGAGATCAGAATTCCTGGTAGTTTTCTTAGTTGGCAAAAAAAGAAAAAATGTTGAATAGTCTGTAGTCTGTTCTGTCATATAAAGTCCCAGTAACAGTTGAAAATTAACAAAACAAAGTATGAATTTAAATATTATAAAGCAATTTTTCCACTGTTATTTTTCTAAAAATACAAAAATATACTATGTTAATGAATCATCTTTAAGAGCAGTTTAAATATAAACCATAAGCAAATGTGAAATAAGAACATACTGGTTGTTTATAAAGCAGGACCAAGTAACTATATACACAGCAAAGAACTGGTGGTATGCCAAAAACAATACTTCATTAAATATTATCACTTTGAGTAGCTACTCTATAAGAAGATAAAACTGAACAAGCATTGAATTTAGTTACAGCAGTTTTCAGAGTCTCAAGGATGTTAGTAAGTTGGAGCTTAAAACTATCAAGTGAGTATCATATTTGCACATCATTTTCCTCAGCAAATTTAGAGATTTTGTTCTCTAAAGCCCTAAACATCAGGGCTTCAGCTTAAAATTATTAAGAAGCACACTACTTAATTTGTCACCCCATTTATCACACTCATTGTATTTTACAGGGCAGAACGATTCAGTAGCATTAATTTTAAGAGAAACACTCAGACAATCCCAGTTATAAAGAACCTAATAAAGAGTTGAATGCTAATAAAATATAATATTACAAGAAATGCAAAATTAAGTGCTTTGCATCAAAATAATTTTAATAAAATAATTTAAAAATCTATCATTGAAAATCAACCACTTACCAACATGCAAATGTAATTCATTCACCCTCCTGGTGATAAATTTTAAAGGTAAACCAAAGATACAAATTGTTCTGAAATTATGAAACATGGACAATACAAGTAATCCAAGAAAACAAACCTTGGCCAGCTAGGAGCATCATCAGGATTATTGCCTTTGTCATCAATAACCTCATCATTGTCATCATCATCATGGTCTTCACCAACATCATTAGCCTGATCAACCTGGTCATCCAACTCATCACTGCCATTGTCATGGTCATAACTATCTTCATAAGTGTCATTAGAATCATCATCACCATCACCATCAGTATAAAGTTCAACATAATCACCATCCTCTTCAGGTGGTTGAACAACAGGTGCAGGAGTTAACCAGTCATTCCGGAAGATTTCAGATAGTGCATTATAGCCTACCCATTCATTTGTCAAGTAAACAGGGGGTGATATTTTTCCTACTTTAAATCCATCTGGAACCTGTGTGCACAAGAAAGGTTAATGTAGTCTCTAGTAGCCTTTCATTTTCTTCTAGATTGGAAAGATTCCAAGCTGACAATATTTTAAAATATATTTTCAACTGAAATGAAGATGTTCACTCATTAGGTAGAGCCAAGATTTTTGCAAGGATGAGCCACCAAAACTCAGACCCCAGGCTGTGATCCTTAATGGCCTTTCTAGATCACACAGGACGAAATTCCCTCACTCTGTTTTTAATTAGCTCTACTTATCTGCTGAGAACTAGACATTCTAGTTTTGTTTTGGAGAAGAGTGTTTTGGTGTTGGAGAAGAAGACAGATGATTTGACACTCTACAGAAGAGTGTCACTATTTTCCTTTTGTTTTATCCTTTGATATTGGGATTAACACACAGCTCTTAAAATTGATGTGTTAATTTCCCCATTCTAGTTTTATACAACATAGATTATCTTAAAGTAATGCAAACACTCCTAAGAAGCAAACCAACATAAATTCACCTTAAAAAAAAACTACCTGCAATGAAGAAGACCCAGGTTCAATCCCTGGGTTGGGAAGATCCTCTGGAGAAGGAAATGGCAACCCACTCCAATATTCTTGCCTGTAAAATCCCATGGACTACAGTCCACGCGGTCACAAAGAGTTGGACACAGCTGAGTGACTAACACACACACACACACATAATGTCTTGTAAGCAATCTCTGAGCAATCTGAAAGGGGTGTATGTATAGTAGGGTAGAGGTAATTACAAAAGTAAAACAGAATGATCTGAAAGTATTAAAGCATAAAATAATTAGAATGTCTTTTTATTTATGAAATTAGAAGGCATTTCATTTTTCACTATTTTTTAACCTTTATGCATTGCCTCATCTTCTAAGAAATGATTAGACAAAAAATGAGTATTTAAACTGTACTTCTTAATTTGAGCTAATGCTTCTACAAGCAGCTTTTTATCTCTCCTCTCTCAAATATATTCTGATACTAGAATGTGAAAATGAAATATTTTATGATCAATTAAATGTCTTTATATGTCAAATGTCATTTCTAGATTTCATATTCTGCATGCTGACATAACAATAGAAACGTATATTTGAAAGATTAATTTAAAAACTGAATGCTTTAGCCTTTCCCTCAAATGAAGATGAAAATATATAAGTCAAAAGAAATTGAAGATTAAAGAGAACAAATATAAATATGTTAAGCATTAAGATGGAAACCTACATGAATATCAACCAGCAAACTCTGATCAATGGTAGAATAAGGTGGTGATGACTGGGACCTCCTCCTGGTCACAGGACTTGCCTCCTCAGAAGAAGATTCTGTAGAATGCCAAAAAGACATTAGTAACAGTGGTAATCACAGCCATTATCTTCATTTTTATAGCGAACCATTTAAATCTCTTGGTATTTTTCTTGTAGCCTCTTTCCATTCAGGAGAAATCACTTGATAAATTCTTATGGGGCCAAGGTCCTATGTTCTATTTTCACAGGTAGAGAGAGACTCAAAGTTTGTTCTGTTAGATATACATGGCTTTTTTATTTTTAATATTAAATATATACTTGCTGAATATTTTTGTGTAAAAAGGTACATAGTAAGACTGGTATGCAGATAGTCCCATGAGAAAAAGAGAATGCATCAAGAACAGTAAGGGCTGGGTGGTATTTCTGGCCTCCCCTAATAACCAGTAAAAAAAAAAAGAGCCCAACAGTGTATAGAAGATGATAGTTTAAACAAAATTTTCAAGAGGAGAGTTGACTCTTCAATCTTAATTCCCCAGTATCCTCAAGTATTGCAATACAGTTGAGACATGAACAACTGAAAAGTGACAGATCTTAGCCCTTTTTATAAAGCTGTGAGCCTTTCTATAAAGGCACTCTGCAATACAACTTTCTGCAGTAACAGAAATGTTCAGTATATGCACTGTCCAATACATTAGCCACTATCCACACATAGCTTTTGAGCATTTGAAATATGGCCAGTATATCTGGGGGGTTGAATTTTAAATTTAACTTCATTTTCATTTTAGTTTTAACAGCCATATTTTGCTAGCTGTATCACAACACAGAGTTCAATTTTATAGTGTAAATATTTCCATTTAAAATGCAAATCTGTCCAGATTAGAAGTCTGGATTTTTTATATTAAGGTTTGTGGTATAGTAAATAACATCCGTGCTTAAAACAGGGTGAGAATATTTAGGTTCAAAGATCAGTAGATCTGGGTGAGTTTACTTAGAAAAAGCTTCACTAAGGAGACCTTCAAGTCCCTATTTATTGTTTTTGGGTCCTTGGATTTTGAAGATAAATAGTATTCTCTCTCTTTTTTTGCAGCCTTGATATTTATATAGCCAAAATATTGACACTACAACTCCAAAAAGCATGTGTTTGAAAATATTTACTATCTTTTGAAGAACACATCTTACACAATGAACACATCTTGAACGATGATGAACACACGATGAACACAAGATGAACACATCTTAACAATTTGTGTTCATGCCTTCTGACACTGTTGTACCTTTGCAGTTTACTACCTTTATGCATAAAACTATTTTCTTGCAAGTGTTTTGGTGTGTCATTAGGCTAAGTAAGAAGTTCGGGTGAATGTTTGAGGTTTGGAGGCAAATTTGTAGTAAGGTTTTCTGATTTCCTATATCATGAGGTATGTGATATCATAGGAACTTCAAATCATCTATGTAACACACATAATAAAATAATAGAATTTTAGAGCTGAAAAGAACTTTAGCTATTATCTACATAAATACTCTCCCTTTCTCTCTCCCACCACTGTTCATAACTGCTTTGGGGCCTAGTTCAGAATTTCCTTATTTTAAAATATATAATATGAATAAATCTTCAATTTTTAGTTGCTTCTGTAGTATTAGCAAATTAACCCTGGTCAAACCAGAAATATTCTGAGGGAAAAAATTGCTAATGTGTCTCTTCACATAGGCTTGTCTTATTTCTCACAAGATAAGTATTTCTGCATGAGGGGACACTCTTATTTAAAGGAAGTACATCACTATCTGAGTTTCCTAAGAAGTAGAATGACCTTTAAAAATTCAGGTATTCGAGTATGTGATTTTCATACAGTACACCCATATCTTCATTTAAGTATTAACATTTTAATAAAATCTATATGCTATATTTTTACAGGTGACCTGGGAACTCGGTCAGGCATTTTCCCCATGCTTAACTTAGTTGAATTGCTTAAAAGTAGATAGTGCCAGATTTTATGTTCCAAGGCATAATTTTGACTTTGTTTATCCTGATATTTCATAAATCTATAATTCATTTAAACTTTCTCAAAAGTACACCATAAAATAAAATACTTATTTGAAATTCATATCACAGTTTATGAAGCTATTTGCTATGATTTTATTTTTTCTTTTTGAGTAACTATATTAATTTTTAACATTTATGAGATACTGTATACGTTTTACTTTGAGGAGGTAAAATAACAAACTGATAAATAAAACACATGCCCACAACTAGTCCACCTAATATTTCAATATTCTAAAGATTGTCTATAAATTTTAGCCTGTTGGAGAGGCCTCCCTCAAGTTCCTTTCCCATATTTTTCACACATGGTATAGAAACTAAAGCTGAATTCCAACTCTCCACCTCCCTAGACACATTCTTAACTACTACCCAACTGAAAAAAGAAACTTCAGAAAAATTACTCTCCATTTCTCAAAGGTCATCACTGACTGCCAAATCCAATGACCTCCTGTTCTTAATCCTACTTGCCCTCCCTGACACTATTTATTCATTCCTTCTTGAAATTCTTTCTTGACTTCTGCAAAATAAACTGTTAAACATTAACTCCATTTTGACTGTTTAAACTTTGTGCTTTGAATCACCTGATGCTGCTGGGCAATTTTGAGGATTTTGCGAACTCCTTTGTCTGATGTCAATTGGCTTCTGAGCTTGCTCCAAAAGAGACCGCTGAGGAACACTAATGAAAAGACAGAAAAGCATGTACCATGTCCTAACATTCAAAAAGGGAATGTATAACTCAACATCAAGACCAACAAAGTTTTAAGTATACGGGTATATATCAAACTGAAAGAAGTAGAGCTTAAGTAATATTTTCCAATTTCTGCAAATCTATTATTTTATCTAGAAAAGATAAACAATTTCTAAAATATAAAAAAAACTGTCTCCATACAAGTATATGTTTCCTTCACATATCATGTTTATTTCTAAAATTTCTATAAAGTTTCCTTAAACTAATATTCAGACATTATTATTAGCTACGTAAAACAGCAATAATCATAAATTTATAGTGTATGTGAGGATTTTAACATGATAAAAAGCAAAGTTATTATTATTTTAAATATTCTACTATTACCATGGTTATTTCAAATCCTTGGAATTTGTGATTTTTAATGTCATCCTGCATTAGATACATGAATAAATAGATAGGACACTTTGGTTTTCAGGATTCAAATTCAGGGAATATTTAGAAAGTTTCTTTGGACAAGAACTGCTAAATTTTACAGTTGCTTTGAAATTTCTATATAGGAAATACTTTGATTACTGATTTAGGCCTGGAACAGACAAGAGTCTTTTTTATGACCTTAAATTTCAGAAAAGACTCAAGGTTCAGTTAAATTTGTTTCATAAATGTAACCATATCTAAAGTAAATATATTTGCTATACATAAATTCAAAAACCTTTTTGTGATAAAAACCAACCAAATCCAGTTGAAAAGCAATATTGAATTTTTATATACCCCATGTTTAACAATTTAATAGTCATACTGATTTTATATTATACCCATGATACCAAAACAGATACACAAAAACTAAACTGATTTCTCCTCCTTTGTTGTCAGAAGGATCATGACAACTCATTCACTGAATGCATAGTAAGGGAAAGTTCCCAATTTTGCTTTGAAATTTTCCAAGATTTCTGCCTACCAGTTAAATCTAAATGACATAAATTCATGGGTGTTTTAAAAAATAATAAGATAGGAATATACACACTAAATACTATCAGCTCTATGCCATCTGACCATACTGTGCAGAATCTTGAATACAGTAAGTATTCACTTCTCTCTAGTATGAGTTGGGAGTTGGAGGGGGTATGATTTTCAAAGAACACCTATATTAAAATTTAGCAGTCAAACATAATACATGGCATACAACATCTAAAATATGAAACATGATCTTTGAAAATTAGTGATTATTATCAATTGTATAGAGTTAAAAATTACAGTGATTGGTATAAAATAATGATATAATATTGAGTTTTAGATTTGATTTTCTTTATAGTTCATTTCAGGTTTGCCCATTCTGTGGCATTAGCTGCTGAGGTTTATCAATTGGATGTGTGTTTTATCATGTAGTACATGATGTTCATGATGTACTACATGATAAAATATGTAATTGAAGTATACCTGATACACTAAAATATCTCCTTTTTATTGTAAATTGAAAGCTTTTCAAGAATTCACTACTGTTCCTTCTGTTAAATTGTGAATCTTACCAGCTAATCATCAAACTAAATAGCACTGAGATTGCAGTATGTCCAAATATGAAATATCTAGTTAATGGATTGTTGCAGTTTTGGGGTTTTAAACATGGGCCAGTGATATCATTGATGACTATGCTGTCACTAATATTTTAATTTTGAATTTACATAGAACTTAGTGTCAAATAAATAAGCATTAAAATTCCATATGATAGTAAATCAGAGTAATCTGAATGTAGAAATCAGAGATACATACCTTGAGGAGAACTTGACACGATGTACACGATCCTGGTTGTAAGGCATAGAAGCAGATCTCTCTTGAACCTTGAGATAAAATGCAAAACTTCAGTAGAATTCTCAATCATAAATTTTTGAGTTACTAATTTATGGGAAAATGTCATTCTTCACATAGAGATATTTTCTTAAAAACCCAACTTATAAAATCTGATTTTCATAAATAAATCATATTTTCTTAATTACTTATAGTATGACATTAGAACTGCTTAACCAAAATCTTTGAATATAGCCTTGAATTTTAGTATAACAAGATTCTGGAGATCATATAATCAAACATCCTCATTTTATTATTGAGGAATCTATATCCTGGAAATGGGAAATGACTTTTCTAAGTATTTACATAAAGTCAAAGAATTATCTTTAATCAGACTGTAGGCCTCCTACCTAATAATTTAATGCTCCTTTTATGTTATCATATTACTTTTTATATCAAGTTCAAACTTCTTGCCCAGAATTGAAATTCAAACTTTGCACTCACTTACCCTTCTAAGCTAATACTAAATTTTCAAAAGTTGTAACATACACACATACATTATTCAAACGTCTCAAGAGTCTAAAGTGTTTAATCTTTAAGGAAGTATGTCCTTTTATCATATCATAATCAGTGTTTGAAACACTTTTCAATTCTAAATAAATTAATTTTATTTTATCAATTATTCATTCATCTAATACAGCAAAAGACTTGAGAAAGAGCACATATAATGAGCCCACTTCCATCTGTGGTATGGATTTACTTTCTGCCAACATTAGTATATAGGGCCATGAAGTGTGCCTTGCCTTATTTAATTTTATATCTCTAGGTTTCTACTCAAAATAGTTTTTAACTACCCCCCCTAAATAGGTCATTGTGACATTCAACAAGGCAGTCACACTAGATTCTTTAGAAAGGAAAATTCAATGTTACAATGAAAAATAAATTTAGTATTTTCATGCTGATAAAATTATTATATAGTATCTAGAAACTATATTAACCTTACTATGCTATTTTTTTCCTTTTATGCAGTGACCTATCGAGGTCTTCTTTATACTCCAACAGATAGATTAGAAATGAAAAGTGTTGTCAATTGTTCACATGTTTTGCTAATGAATGTTTTCCAATACAACCAGATGTTTGGCAGTATGCAGGATAAGCATCTGACTGACTGTTTCCACTTTTGATTCAGATAACTGGCATCATATTGACTCAGTTCAGGCCTCTTGGTTCATGAAGCTAATCTTTGAAAGTTTATTGAAACTAGTTAACCAGAGGCCAAAATTAGAGATAAAGGTCAATAATAAGAAAGGTTAATGACTAATATGAATAGACTGTATTTTTTCTGAAAATTGAGGAGAAGAAAATGATTAGTAAGAATAGCATATATTAAGGCAAATGATGTATTCCAAGCCAATCAGATACAGCTTGTTATATTTTGGGCTTAATGTATCATGCTTATGTAAAATTATCATCTGGGGTAAGAGTAAAGTCATCATTTAATAAGGCAGAGATGGGGACATATTGCCTCTTGTAATTAAATAATACAATCCAGCATATGTTCTTTTTGCCACTAACTAATATTGATAAAGCAGTACTCTGTTATTCATTTCAAGAGACTGATATTATCAGAAAGAACATATTTAAAAAGGATAACTGTCCATGGCATACATCATAATAGACTACTGTGAAGTATCTTGAAAGAAGTAGGTAGTGATCTTGGATGCTTATCCTGATTGAGTAGCAATGACTTACTATTAATAAAACAAGAATGTCTGAGTTCTTCACCAATCCACCTATCTGCACTTAGTGACCAAAAAAGTTTTAGCTATTAATAGCTGTAAGGAATGCTGTCTATAATGACAGGACCTTGTCCACACTCCTCACCAATACTATGTGCTAAATAGTTATCAAAAAACTTGTGAAAACAAAAGTCAACCTGGACACCAGGCCTGACATTATTATTCCCATAAATCTAAGAAAAATAAACAATAGGTGAAAATGAGCTAGACCCTGTCATAATCTACATCTCAGAAAAAGATATAAGCTGAACTACTGAATTTTTCATGGGCAATATTTTTTACTTAAAAGAATGACTGAGGAGACAAACTGGTTATTCAACTTGGGTATCTGGCAGGCAGTTTATTTAAAATCAATGAAGTAAGCCTGTCAAATCAAGGAAAAAACAATTAATGTTATTTGTTAACAATGATAAAACTGATAAAACAATGATAAAACAAAATTTTAGACTCATCTATCACTGTGCACTTGGCAGCTTATCAATACTCAACAATTTTATGATGAAATTGATATTAACTAATGCCATTTTTGGTGTGAAATAAAATGTATATTTGGAAGGATCCACATATACAGTGAACCAATATTTTTCAACTGATCAATGCATGAAGATATAAAATTGTGTATGAGCAAAACATCTATTCATAGCTGATTAGATGGATTTTAATATTACTGAATATCCAAAATCTCACTGATATGGTTTTAGACTCCATTTCTCTAGTTGGGGTGTACTATCAAAGAATATCCACAATTATCTGAAAAATCTATGGAAATTCTCCCTGTCCAACCACAAATATGTGAGAAGCTAGCTTTTACTCATATACTTCAACAGTTGGCCTGGATGGCTAAGTCAGTAGAGCATCAGACATTTAATCTGATGGTCCAGGGTTCATGTCCTCATTCAGGTGTTAGTCTATCTTTTGGGCTTCCCTGGTGGCCTAGAATGTAAAAAATCTGCCTGCAGTGTGGCAGGCCTGGGTTTGATCCCTGGGTTGGGAAGATCCCCTGGAGAAGGGAACGGCTACCCACTCCAGCATTCTTGCCTGAAGAATCCCATGGACAGAGCATGGGAATCCCTGGCAGGCTACAGTCCATGGAGCTGCAGAGTCAGACACAACTGAGTGACTAACACTTTCACATTTTCTTTTCAAACAACATATGGTAACAGATTGAATGCAGAAGCAGATAAGAGAACCCAGCTGTTTTCTATTAAGCAAGATGGAGAATTGTTATTTCACTAAAACTTGCTTCTTATATTAGCATTTAATAGTTTTATTACTTTTTAAATAAAGTGATAGATATTTTAAATTTGGTTTTAATTTATAATACATTATATATTCAATGACATGATCTGAGTAAACAAAAGCTTTTTTAGGTCTTCAGTGTTTAAGAGTATAAAGAGATTTTGAGACAAAAAGTTAAGAACCATTGTTCCATGCACTTATTAGTGTCACAGTAACTCATATTGAGAGACTTACCTCATTTTCTTTAGGATCTGGAATGTATGGCTGCAATGGTTCTATTTGGACTTCAGCCTGAATCGAATGAAATGCTTCATCATTATCTGATGATTCATCTTCTTTGTCCTTGAAACAAAAAGGTAAATAAATATATTACTTGCTGTTAAACTGTAAATTATAGAAGCAATTATAATCATCTTACTGTTTAATTAAAAAACAACTATTCAATATTCAAACTGATTTAAGTGTAGTTTCTAGTAGTTTTTGGTTCTGCATCCCTTTCAGCATCTGAGTAATGCTACAGATTCTCTGGAGAAAAATGCATATAGAAAGACACGTCTCTTCATATATTTTAGGGGGTCATTGACCATGTGCAGCTCACTTATTAGACCCAGGTTAAAAATCTCTGGTCTAAAGATTAACTCATGACCCCAAAACTTTAACATTTAATGAGTGGTTATAATTACAAAGTTTAGCCCTCCTGAGCAATGGAAGATCTGCAATACAGCAGTGCAAATATTTCTCTTTGAGTCCTAGGAGTTTAGGCAAGTTTCTGTTTTCCCATTTAAGTCAATCAGCATTTCTTCAACACAAAGGGAATAATGGAAATGTGTTTTCTTTCTTTCTAGTGAGTTGAAATACACACATACATCTTTAAATTCTAGTGAATTTTCAGGTATTTTGAAAGACCTATGACTTGATTACAACATCAAGAATTTTCTTTTTCTTTGTATTTCCCTTGACAGTTACACATAAAGGCAGGGATGCCTATACAAGATCCTAGGTTCAAGGGATTAGTAGCTATTATTTAGTGACTTTTTCTTCCATTTTAGAATGGCTTCTTACATAAATATTTAAAACACTGAAAGACAATAAGTAATGTGTTATGCTACTAATACCATGAGTCTTGCAGGAATGCATAAAAATCTTTTTAAAAAAGTGCAAAAGCCATTAGATCCAATTGTTACTAGGGCTCATTGGGAATAGTCATTAGCATTTTAGATCGCTTAATGTCTGGCAAATATTAACACTTTGCACTCTTGCAATTCCTTCTCTATTTGGTTTCTTTTGCTTCTTATCTGTTAGATTTGGGGGACTAGACAATCATTTCCCCCTTTGGGTCTTGCTTCTCTTGTTGCTTTTACCTTTTCTCATGTTAAACATGTCTGGGAAACAGCATTTGCTCAATTAACTCAATGGCCACAAACCAAACACTCCCTTATTGAGACATTCAGACAAGGTTGATTTGTAATAACTACATTAATTATTATTAGATAAATGGATGTTGATAGCAGGGTTTAATTTAGGATCTTCACAATGATTCCTTCTATATAAACAGATGCTGTGAAGTATAGAAAACGACTGCTCTCCTGGTCTTTTTGACCTCTTTAATTTGCTTATGAAGCCCATAAACCCTTCAGTATCAGATTAGATTTGCCAGATTGAATCCACCAACTCCAGTCAAATTATCTCCATATCTATTTATATTAGGGAATTTTGAAGAATGATGTTTTATTAACTTGAATTTGTAACTTGTGCCATGTTCTATGCAGGTACTTCATTGATGCAAAATGGGTGGAAAATAAGTGAGACAAGTCATACTTATGGTAAGCATGTACAAAATATTTCAGAAAACGCTTTCCCTTCTCAGTTTAACCTTTAACATCCTAAAGTACAAAACTAGCGCAATTCTCTTAAATAGTATGTTCAGCATTATATGGGAGGAAAGAGCAAAATAAACTAAGAGATTAGAAGAACAAAACTTAACTTTTGTGTTTATTGTAACGAGATATATTTTTAATTTTGACCTATGAAAGCAAAAAGATCCAAAATAGTAACTTTAAGTGTGCATATGATGTTGGTTAAGGAAATAATAGGTAGAAAATTAACTAATAATGAAAGCTATGTCACTAAAGAGATATTAAGCAAATAACTGGATCATTCAAACAAATCTTTCTTTCTCAAATTTAGTCACAATTATTTGGAAATTTCAGGATAATTTACTTGAAGCCCAAATTATTTAATCTTCTCTGAGACATACTGAACATTTATTTCATTTGCTTTTATAGAGGGAACACCTGAGTATGAACTAGCATATTTTCTCTGCATATTTGACTTACGAAAAATATCAGAAACTTACTTTTGCAACTTGTCTCAGTTCTTCCTCATGCTGATTAAAGATATCCTCCCATCTGCATTGGCGCCTTTGCCTATGGGCTTCTAAATCTGAGAGCTCAAACACTTCATGTCTCCGTGACAACTTTGCCCGAAACCTCTTTGGTGATAGTCTTTTTGCCAATGCCTGCCTTAGACTAGAAACTCTTGATTTTTTCTTCCGTGCTTGTTCTGGTTGAGAGTAAAACACGTCTGATGCCAGGTTTTCCATCAGGGTTTGCAGTGGACCAAGCGGCTTTGAGTTATGTGCATTTGGTGCTCGAAGTAAGTCTCTTGATAGTCCCTCTATAACTGCTTGAACTGAGCCAACTGCCTGTGTGGGGTCTAGTGCCCAGGCTTGTGCTTGAGGTGATCCTTCGGTCTGCCCCTCTACCGGAACGAGCACCTGAGTGTCCAAATGGAGTGGCAACAGCACGTGGTGGTTCTGTGAGAGTAGGGGCAGGAACACCTGGGCATGGACTCGTAATGACTCAGGTTCCTCTGCCTCCACCTCTGCCTGTGTAGGCTCTGCAGCCTGTTCCTGTACTTCTGGCTGTTCGGGTGCCCCATTCTGCTGCAGTGGCTGTTGAGGTATGTAGTTCTGCCTCTGCTGTTGTTCAGGGACCCGGCCATGTCTTTGCTGTTGTTCAGGTACCTGATCTTGCCTCTGAAATTCCTCTGGTACCTGATCCAGATCCTGGGGCTCTCCTGATGCCTGGGGTTGGCCCTGAGCCTGCTGCTTTTTGGATACCTGGGCCTGTACCTGTTGAGGCCTAGGGGCCTTCACCTGAGCCTGTAGTGGCATAGACATCCAGGCTGTCCTCTGTGGTTGTGAAGGTGCCTTCATCTGCATCTGAAGGGGCATAGATGCCTTAGCCTTCACCTGAGCCTGTAGTGGCATGAACATCCGTGCAGCCCCTTGCAGTCGCTGAGGTGCCTGGACTTGCCCCTGTAGAGGCCTAGGTGTACCGTTCTGAGCCTGTAGTGGCATGAACACCCTGGCAGCGCCCTGGAGATGCTGAAGGGCCTGAACCTGTGGCTCTTCTCGGTCAGGTAGCCACCTTGGTTGAGAGGGTTCTCCATGCAGGACTCTAAGTGGTCTGCATCTACTGCTGGTAGGCAGTCTCAGAAGTTCATGAGTACAAGAAGGTCCCCTAGAAATAAATGTACAAATGGTTGCCATACAATTAGTGTTGTCAGTAGAGTGATGTCATTCAGGGGAGATGCTTTTTTTAAAGGTGAACATTTTTCTGCAATAAAGATACTTCCACTACATCTTTCTTGAATCATTCCTGTAATGTCTGAAAGTTTTTACATTAGCAATATATTCAGTATTAATGGTCTGATAATCTACTTGATCATTCTATTGTCAGCAATTAAGGACTCTTTGAATAGTAATAAAATTTTTTTCCTCAACATTTCCATTCAAATATCTCTTGAAAACAGAGATCTGTTTTATTTGATCAGAGGATTAAGTTTCTTTGAGTTAAGCACAATATGGAATCAACTGTCTTACATGAATTGCTAACATCAAATTATATATGTAAGTTATCTAACGCACCTGAATCTTCTCATGGTATACTGCTCCTTAATAGCTTCTTCTCTTTCAAAGATCAGAGGTATTCCTTTTATGAAATAGAAAAGAATAATGCATACTAATCAACAGAGATTAATAAATCCACCTTAGTCAATTTGCACCCTTTACTGCTCAGGATGTTGAGTGAATTTACAAGGACAAGAGGGCTGTAACCCTTCACATCACATCTACTGGTGGTGTAGACAATATCCTTATTCCTAGGCCTCCTTTTGCAGCACAGTTATTCCACAGATACTAATTTCTCTCTGCATAAGAAAAAAAATAGCAATCTGATTGCTGCAATTCTAAAGAGAAAAAAATTGAAAAACGTAAAGGGACAAAGGGACAAAGAGAAACTCTAGATGGTTGATGAGCATGGCTTACAGGTGTGTACTATGGATGGAAGGACTTTATGGTTTGGGCCCACACCTATCTTTGGTCCTTTCAATGAGGATCTTGAAAATGAGAATCAGGATCTTTGGTCCTTTCAATGAGAAGGCAAAACTCTAAATTCTGGTTTTTACAACTAACACACTGAAAATGTTTGGTGTCTTTCCTGTCACCTGTGCTGTACTGAAATACAGACACTTACAGACAAAAGAGTTTTCTTTTGAATTTCCTACATTAGAAAGTTTAGGACAACTATATTGACATCTTCCATCAATTTCTATATAAATGTGACTTTTCCTGCAGATTACATTTTGGAAATTTTGCAACTCTGGAAATTAGTGAATTCTCAACTAGATGTGGTATCTTTCTGTGCCCATTTGAGATTGGTCAACTTTTATGATGATGTTTGTCCAATAAATTCTCTACCATGGTTAAATATATTAATTCCTTCTGCTTCTCACTCCAAAATAAGATATGTATAGTTATGCAGATGGAAGAAGATAGGCTGCAATCAATCCTATAGTGCATCTGAGAATGCCTGCTATCTTTTTCAGGCTCCCCACTTCCCATTCCACTATCACTCAACTCTGCATATGGTGCCCTAAATTAAATGCAAAATATGGCATATAACCTATAAAGTCGGAATTTCCTAAGGAGTTTCCTCTGGATTTGATGAATAACCATCCTGTCATTTTTGGCATTAATATCTAGAAGCTTAATTTTATTTGCATAAATGTGCTTTGCTAATTACATCTTAAAGTTGGAGATTCACACATAAAATCACCTATGTGCAGTTCACTGATACTACATCAAAAGTAGCAGTCAATAAGTGATTAATTATAAATTCATTTATCTAATTGGAGTTAACATGTTAGATGAGAAAGAACAATAAGATATAGATTTTGTTATCTTCTATTTCTCCAGTTAGTTTTCTTAAAATAAAATTAGCACATCATAAAATTATTACTGAGGCTTTCAAAGGCCTTTGTAAATATGAATACATGATAGTTGAACTGGCAAAAATTTATAATCTTATGTGTCTGTGTGTGTGTGTGTGTGTGTGTGTGTATGATCAAGTAAGAGATAATGAATTAAAAGCTAAATGTCAAAAGGCCTGACTTTAATTTCAACTTAATTCTTAAATATTATTTTTCCTAAAAAAATAATAAAATTTTCTCTCATTTGAATATTTATTCCAGTAAAATGAAGATTTACATATCTTACCTTTTTTTTGTCTCTTTTTAATGATTCCAGTAAGATGCTTCTTTAATGACTCAACAACATGTCCTTCATTTTTTATATTCTGAACAAATGGGTGATGAAGCATGTTTGCAGAAGTAGGACGAAATAGGAAATTTTTTATCATGCACTTTTCCATGAAATCATGGAACTTGCGGGACCTAAAAGAAATGAATCAAAGAGGTAAAAGAGCATTCTCAGGTATGCCACACCTCCCACCTCTACCCACATGCCACTCTGAAGGTCACATTTTTGGAGAGAGTTGTCTTAGCTGTAATAGTCTTTTCAATAACCAGATATCCTATAGCTTGACAATGTACATTACACAGCAATGCCATATAAGCCTCAGAAGAGGCTAGAGTCAATGATACTTTCTACCCAAATAATAGTAGAAACTTCAGTGAGTTCAGAAGAATGTATGTGGTAAAACAGACAAGTGGTGGGATGGCAATTAAGTGGTTGATGTGATTTATGCAGACCATGAGACCAGACTGGTCATCCCACAGTAGTCATATTTTGAAGCCTGAGTGTTTTGCTTGACTATATGCACTTTGAACTCTAAAGCTGTCAATGTAATGATCCAGAAAAGGGTGTTAATAGCACCAGGACTGATTAATCTTAATGGCCCATGGAAACAGATGTGACCAGAAAGCCTGAATCTGTGGGAAGGGTTAAATTTAATCACAAGGAAGAATGTCAGCAACTGAATCATAGTAACCACTTTTACCAGGGCAAGTAATATATACTGAGAATAAGCAAGAACTTCATGTACTAATTCCAAAAACTTCAGGAAAAAAGATTCCCAAGTTTAGTTGGGCTGTAGCACTCTGAGCGAACAAGTCCTCTTTAGGTTCTGTAGATGTTTAGTTTTATGGGTCAATCACTGACTGCCTATGTAAGCTCAATGAGAAACTTCACAAATGACTTCCATTGGTCCAGCCCATTACAGGAGACAAAACTGAATATGTCACTAATGCCAGGGCAGTATTGTCATCATAATATACCATGGAGAGTATTACTTCTAATTGGCTAGCTAGCTCTTAATGAACAGTACTCATTTAGACCCCTTAAGGTATCCGTTTTTAGGAAATATTGTCCAACAAGGATGTTGAAACAGGACTGATCAAATGAATTAAAACTTCTTTGCTATATAAAAATATCAAGTTACTGTGTTTAAAAGATTAAGTTATTCATCTTTACCATCCACTGGATTTGACTTTGGGAGCAGATTCTCGCAAAATAACGAACAAGGCTTCCAAAGGTTGAAGGTTACACAGGGCTGCAAAGGAAAATAGGTAAGTTTAGAATGGGTAAGAAAGGTAACTACAGAACAAACTCCTAATTCCAGAGGGGATTCTCAGTGTTCTTTCACATATCATGTTGAATAGACACTGAAGAACAGATATGAAAGAAGGTAGTTAGAGGAAAAGCTGACTTTAATACAAGCTGTCCATTATATAAGATACTAAAGCTTCACTATTTCCAAGTATGACAAATAATAATAAATTACACTAGGTCAAATTTTTGAAATGTGTGATTGATGGTTTATATCTAGCAAGTCAAAAATACAGGTGGAGACATGTACTCTTCTGTGTGTTTGTGTACTGCCACTATACTCCACAGTTGTAAAACTGGAATATGTAATTATAGGCTGAAAAGTCAACCATACTAGTAACTATGCACAATAATATGCAAACAATGATTTAGTAGTCTAAAAAGATGAGAATAATCTGTTTTGGAAGCTAACAGTCCTAGGAAAAGAAGTAAATACAATGTAACTATTAAGAAGGGGCTTCCTAGGTGGCACTAGTGGTAAAGAACCCATCTGCCAATGCAGGAGACATAAGAGACATGGGTTCAATCCCTGGGTCTGGAACATCTCCTAGATGAGGGCATGGCAACCCACTCAAGTATTCTTGCCTAGAGAATTCTCATGGACAGAGGACCCTGTTGGGCTACAGTCCATAGCATTGCAGAGTCAGACATGACTGAAGCAACTTAGCATGCACGCACAACTATTAAGAACACACCCTTTAGATTAGATCATCTGTGTTCAATTCCTAATTCTACCTTTGTGACCTTAGGCATATTACTTACCTCTTTGTGCTTTGGTTAATTCATCTTAAAAACAGGAAATACATTAAGAATTCCTTCAAAGAGTTGCTATGAGGATTAAATGGCAATGAACCTATAAAACTGTCTGGCACAGAGTAAGCACTTAATAAATATTAGCTATTGATATTACAAGAAAGATTTTAACTATCTGGCACCTCAATTCTGTGCAAAATTACTAGACTTACATTCTCTTTTTCAGAAACACAACCATACAAAGAAAAGCCTACTCCGATATTTGGTATATAAATTCATTACCTCATTGGCTTGGGAATTCTGGGCTTTTCAATAAGTGTTTAAATATGTGTCTCACTTTACTTATTTCCTCTTGTGTTTTGATTAAAGAAAACTGGCAGTGCAATAATTCCCCAAAGGAGAGCCATGGTGTAAATTTCACCTAATACTAAAAGTGTGTCATTCATGTGAGGACAATTTGATATTAATAACTCTTTAGAGGAATCCTTCCTCTCCCAAAATACATCTCAAAAAAAAAAAAAAAAACACAAAAAAAACTCCAGTGCCAAATTGGCCTCTCATAGTAGTATAAAGAAAGTCCCCAGGGTAATTTCATTAGAGTAATATAAAGGCAATTGTTCAACAGTCAAGCTTTATATAAATTAATAGAAGGTGCAGTGACCTGATCTCCATATCTGACCCAGCTTTAATCCATGCCCATTCTGTGATATGTGATATTCCAAGGGACACCAGAGATTCTTGATATTCCAAAGGACACCAGAGACTCCTAACAATTATGTTACCATTATTTCTACTCCTTGAAATTATTCCCATTAGCCATGAAACACAGTGCTAAAACAGTAGATATTGTACAGATGAAGCACGTAGGAACATGGGAACCTACAGGATCTGCTTGGAGAGGGAAAAGCAAATCAGTTGCAAGCCCTGCCCCCTGACATACACACTTCAGGTGTTTCTCTCACTTCTCATCAATACTATGAATGTGTTTTATCATTTATATTCTTGGATTTAGGTATTGAGAACAGCAAATACGCCCTGTTTATGGGATTATACATTTGCTGGTTATTAATCATTTATACTCAAGTTCACATTCCACTTTTACTTTCCTACCAGAAAGCAGTAACCTGAGAGACTAGACTGCTGACAGGTTACTTCAATGAAGAGGAGGGGGAAACAAGAGAAAATGGAGCCTACTGAACAATGAGGGGCAATGGAATGGCTGACAGGAGCACGGAAGGCACCAATGATAGCTGGGCTGACTCCAAAGGGGGGGAAAAAAGCTTCCTTCTCAATATTGCTGAGGATTGGCTCAATTAAAAGGAACTACTGGAGGATTTTCTTAACTGGCACAGTCTGAAATGTGTAAGTGTTCAGAAACCTAAATATGCCATCAGTGAATATGTACTGGAATACCTTTAGATTCTGTTTGGTTATTACTATTATGACCAAATGTTATTGAGGCTAAATTAAGTTAATACTCAATCAGCCTAAAATAAGATATCTTAACAGAGAAAAATACAAATCTTCTTACAGACATGTCTGGCCATTCTGACTATGGCATTTCATAATTTGGGAAAGACTATCATTTATAGTTTGGCATGTGGTATGGCACCTGTGTGATCAGTACAAGCTGACTTGTACAAGTGCAGATTTGTACAGCATGTTTCCATAACTTTTAACCAACATCAAATATTATTACTCACGAGGAGCCCCTTCGGCCATTTCAATAGCAGTGATTCCCACGGACCACACATCACTCTGCAAAGGAAAAGACCAAAAAAAAAAAAAAGTCACTTAAAAGTAGGAAACAGTATTTAGAATATCTAAACAACCTTTCACTGAGGGGAGGTACCAATGCCACAGCCATTTTATGGGTTTTCTTCATTATTGACTGATGTTACAGGGAGATGTTATCTGGCCTTGTGACCAGCCAGTACTGTACTACACAAGTTGATATGGGTGGGGATTCAGTGAAAGGAAAATTCATCTTGGATGTATTGCTATTGTTACCTTAACTGGAATACCAAAAGGAATTTGTTGTAAAGAAGTCCAATCACATACTACTAGTTCTAAAGAAGTCAGATCTTAGGCAAATGATTTAACACTCTGTACCTCAATTTTACTCTATGTAAATTAGGGCTTCCCTGGTGGCTCAAACGGTAAAGAATCTGCCTGCAATACAGGAAACACAGGTGACATGGGTTTGATCCCTGGGTCAGGAAGATCCCCTGGAGAAGGGAATGGCTACTTACTCAAGTATTCTTACCTGGAGAATTCCATGGACAGAGGAGCCTGGAGGGCTACAGTCCATGGGGTCGCAAAGAGTCAGACATGACTGAGTGACTAACACTTTCTTTTTTTTCACTTTCAAAATAGAGATGATAATAATAGGATCCATGTTATAGAACTAGCATAAATATACTATATACATAAGCACTTTCAGGAGTTTCTTGAATACAGGAAACTGAGGACAGAATTATTATAATTCTAGGAAATTATACATTTTAGGAGGCTCTAGGAAATGACCTTCAGTACTGTTAACTGTACTTTGTTTTTTAGAATGTAGAAAGGGCACAGGGCTAGAAGTGTACTGTTTGGCTTAATGACTCCTAGACAAGTTAACTGAGTTCTTAAAATACCTGATTATAGATGTCTTAGCTTCAAAGAGTTGTTGTAATGATATAAATTTAAGCTTTCTTTAAGTTATGTGGGACTGAAAATTAAAAATGTGTAATTAATATGGGTGAAAGTCCTTGGAAGACTGCCAAAAACTGTACAACTATAAAGCATTATTGTTACAGCAAGTCACTTAAAGAACATTATGCTTCCATTGTCTCCATAGCTCCTAATAGTATTGGCTCTCAAAAGATCTGCTTGCAAATCAAGCAGAGGGCATTTAAGGGAAAAGGAAAAGAGATGAAATTCGAATTAATCAACTTTGAGTATTGAGTCCTAGATTCCACACAACGAAACCACAATGAATTGTTTGGATGAGTTATGATGTGGAGAGTGAGTGTGGTTTTTCCAGTCTATAGCAAATGGAGTGTTTTCTTTCCATATCAGCTTTTTGAAATGTGTACATAGATGTATATTGTCCAAATTGTAGCTTCAGTGGAAATTTTAATAAATAGCATAAATTGTTACTTAATTTGTCTATTCCACTGATTTTCTGTGGTCTGGAGCTGAACCATGCCAAGGACTTTCTCCATTACCCTGAGTAATCAAATTATTATTTTTTTTTCTCTTTGGAGCTAAGTTACTGTGGGGATTAATAATTTGGCTTTACATTTATTTACATTTGGCATTTACATTTATTACATTTAATAATTGGCTTTACATTTATTCAGTTTTAAGTTTATAAAGCACTCTGTCCCTGGAAGTTAAATTTCCATATAAAGCCACATAATATAATATTCTTTACCAAGAAGTTGTAAGCAAGATGAACTAGACATTCTTCCTCAAATATGGATAACTCCCAATGGTCTACTTTGCCTACATTCTTAGAAAATATTATTTTTACACACATCATCAAACCACATATAGAAATAGTGGCTAGTACTTCCTATTCAAGTAGTGGTTTTTATTCTTTTATTTCATAATTTAAAATAAAAAGTCAAAAGTCCTTTACAAATTTTGTTTCCTACTATCTGAATCCTTACACTTACTCTGTAATCATAGGAGCGTCTGGGGTCCTCATCACAGTCAATCACCTCAGGTGCCATCCAGTATGGTGTCCCAATGAAGCTATTTCTCCTCCCATTAATTCTGCTCACCTGGGCACTCACTCCAAAATCCACTGCAAAATTCATTTGTCAAAATAATTAATGAGTAACAAAAAGCTCAATAAGTTATTGCTTTAACTTGGAAAGCCAATACAAAAGCCACAATGGATAACAGATTTTCATTCCAGCCCAGCAAACTTTACCATGAAGTCTACTCCAGTAACACTGGGAAATAGGCTTTTGCTGGTATTTATGTTGGAAAGAGATTCAGCAGTGCTATTATAAATCTACAGTAGGTTTGGCTGAATGTTTACCATGAATATTAAAAATAAAGTTCAATCAGTATACTCTAAACCACTGAAGTGATAACACATGTAGTGTTTGGACCTGCCACCAACCTGGAAAAAGACCAGCATTATAAGCAACATCTAAGAAATCAAAAACTTATTAGTACTTTATTAGGAAGTCTCACTCATGATGTTCGAAAGTTCTACTACACTAATAAAGAAAAACAAATTTATGCTAAAATTTAGTTTAACTTCTTCTACAGATCTTCTGAATCAGATGCAAATATTTAGTGTGGTATCCGTATCTCAGCTTAGACTATTAAAGTTCAGTCTTCTATTCATCTGTGGGATATATTATATGAAAATATTTAGTATGGTATCCTCAGAAACAGACAGAAAAAAGGCTAAAGTAGACCGGGGTTATTTGGTCCAGAAAAAATAAGACATGGATGAAAAATGAAGTAGATTTTCTAATTTAGAATGGTTTCCAGGAATCTAGAGGATGGCTAGCAACCTTCACTGAAAAGTAGTTTAAAGAACTTAGGAAAAGAAGAGAAAAATCAAAAAGTTAAGAGTTTAAGGCAGTGTTAAAGGAAGGACTAATAAGAACAATATCAACACAATGTCCATAATACACGAAAAATCATCACTGGGTGTTGCACAATCTCATTATCTAGATGCTTTTTTCTGAGAATAGGTTACATCAGAGTTCAGCATTCTCACTATCCCTGAGGGCCAACTTTAAGGGCCAATAAATATCTATGAAGGCCATACGCTTATATATGACATTCAAAGAAGAAAAGGAAATGAGAAAAGACTGGAAGAAAAGAGTGATAAATGGAAGAAAAAGGAAAAAAGAAAAGCTGAAATTAAAAGTAGGGATGAGATCCCAACAGTGGCATCATTCACCTTTTCCTTACTGACTTAGGGACCAAAATATGAGGATTATTGATCAGTTGCAATTGCAATATAGTCATTGTCCAGTCTCTCTCCTTTCTGTTACTCCCTTTGGGTTTGGCTTCTTCAACCTTCTCCTTATAACTTGTCATTTAAAAATATTGTGGGATCTAAGAAATCTAAAAACCAATGTATAAGGATTATATATAGATAAGAAGCCTGGATAAATTCTAATCCAGTGCTAAAAGGTCTCTCCTACAGAGTCAAGTACATGATCTCTAGTGTGGGGACTTTGTGACAGTTTTTTCAGAGGCTTTTCACTTACTTACAATTTCTCTTCTGTGATGCAGATGATAGGGTTGGCTAGCAACTTGACCCAAATATATGGGAGCACTGCCACATGTGAACACAGAGTGTAGCCGTGTGACATACTATATCCATGCTGCACATTTCACTGTGAGATCCAAATGACCCTTGTGTATTTTAACACAGTGTCTTAAAATTCTGTTTCTAGCTTTGTAGCTTTTAGACACAAAAGAACAATACATTTTCTTGAAATTACTTTTAACTTACTGCAGGAACAATTATTACCACATGCTTCTTCCACAAATATTCAGTGAAAAGCATTCTTAGTGAATGAACAAAATCTCTATTCTGGTTATATTTATTTGGCAGGAAAAATGGGAATGATCTTAAGATCATGCTAGAGATATGGTAGGGAAGCCCCTGGTGGCTCAGATGGTAGAGTCTGCCTGCAATGCAGAAGACCCGGCTTTGATCCTTGGGTCAGGCAAATCCCCTGGAGAAGGAAAAACCTGTTCCAGTATTCTTGCCTAGAGAATCCCAAGGACAGAGGAACCTGGTGGGCTACACCCCATGGGGTTGCGAAGAGTTGGACACAGCTGAGTGATTAATACACACACACAGAAATACTCACACACAGATATGGTAGGCAAGAATTGATATGATTAGATACAGGATTTGATGCCAATGATTTTATGTTCTGTATCAATGAGGTCATCTGCCATTACATGGTACTGACATTATTTATATGATATTATTTAGAAATCAACCAACAATATTTATTTTAAACATTAAAGAGTACAAGATATTGTTCCCTGTGTGCCTGTGAGACAATATAATAATTATTTTCAATAAAGTATGCCATTCTGAACCCTGGAACTGAAAGCTAGAAACTCTGGATTTTAGATTTCTAATTCTGAATTTGATTTGGATATTACTGGAGCATCATTTCTAACTTATATCAGTTCTTTAAATATCCGAGGGAAAATTCCAATGAAGCAATTTGTGCTTAAGTAAATTTAAAAGTTCTTAGATATTCTTTGGAAAATATGGCTCTGTGATGTGGAAGAATTGTCTTTTTGTTTAATCCTTGTCCATGACACAGAAACTTGCACATGGTAAACACTCAGTTAAATTGTTGAAATAAATACAATAGCAGATCCCACCAAAAGTACTGGAGTGGTTTGCTATGCCCTCCTCCAGGGGATTTTCCTGACCCCAGGGATCAAACTCGCATCACCTGTATCTCCTGCATTGGCAGCTGGAATCTTTACCACTGAGCCTCCTGGTAAGCCCAATAGAAGGTAAAGCAATGACCAAAACGTAAAACTCCCATTTCAAAGTTGTTGTTCCCAAAATGATTTCTGAGAAACAGTTAGGTGCATCTTTCTCTTGTCCCACATCCCTTCCCAAACAAATTTTCAAATTTTGATTTATTTTGCAGGCAGGGACGACATAGCCTAAATAAGTAGACGGGGATATTAGTGACATGAGAGAAAACAGTAATCTTGAAGGATTTTTCTCTGTTAAGATATTTTGGCGTTCATTTAAAGTATTATAAGAATAAACTTACCTAGTTTTACTTCAGCATTATGAGTCAGTAGCACATTTTGACCTTTGATGTCCCGGTGAATTACACGGTGTGAATGAAGATGAGCTAAGCCCTGCATATGCATACATATATACATTTATATAAAAAAGCAAGATCAATATATAGTTTTTCTCTTTTTATGGTACTGTTCTTAGCATTTTTGAAAAGACTTTTGGTAAGAAAAATGGCCCAGATTTGCATTTTTCAGACAAAATTCTTCTTTAGGCTGGAATTACTACAACCAGTTCCCAGAAATAGTACTTTCAGCTATAAGGAAAGGAAAATAAATGAGGACACCCATGAAAGAGAGAAAGAACACCAAAAATTAATACTTGTATATATTGGGCTATTTACCTTCCTTTCTAGTCTCCATTTTTCCAACTAACCACATGAGTAAAGACCTGGATATCTGAACTATTGTAGCTCAGCCATTGTTTTACTCTACTTATCCAACCATTTGTTTAGTCCAAAATATTTTCAAGTCAACCTTGTAGGCTGAGAATTTGGAGGAATATGGAAATTCACTTTAAAGTACTTGCCATTTGTATTGGTTTACCATGCTGTCTCCAGACCATTCACCACTAAAACTAACCCATGCCCTGACTTCAGTGAGATTGTGCTACATACTAACAGGAGATTAATAATAGAAATAACAGTGAAAACAGCTAATATCAATTGAGTCCTTATTCTTTGTCAAGCACTATGCTAAGCACTTTACATGAAGACAACTCTTAAATCCTTACAGCAATCTTTTAAGGAAGATGCTAATTCCATCCCAAAATACAGGTGACAAAAATGAGATTTGGAGAAATTAAGTAATTGACTCAGGGACACACAGCTAATACATGATGAACCAGAATTTAAACTCAGTCTATGCGTTAGTATACTGTATTGGTCTTTATCTTTCTGGCTTACTTCACTCTGTATAATGGGCTCCAGTTTCATCCATCTCATTAGAACTGATTCGAATGAATTCTTTTTAATGGCTGAGTAATATTCCATAGTATATATGTACCACAGTTTCTTTATCCATTTGTCTGTTCATGGGCATCTAGGTTGTTTTCATGTTCTGGATATTATAAACAGTGCTGTGATGAACATTGGGGTAGAGTTTGCACTCTTAACTACATACACTATTATCATGAGTGAATCCAGTTAAGACAGCATTCTAATATTTTTATCAGTGATGCTGTTCAGTTCTGTTAACATCCTTCTTGGATGACTCTAAGCACTTAAGACACAAAGAAAAATCTGAGTTTGGCAGATCAAGAACACTGTCATTTTCATCCAATTTGGTGTTCAAAATAAGGAATGTTTTAAGTTAAGACATTATTCAGAGAGGATATCTGTCTGCAAAAGAGTTGTAGATGATTTGAAGCCATTGAGTAAAACACGGATTTCTCAACCCATCTTAATCTCCAATGACATGCTTTAAAAAAAAAAAAGAACTCTAAAAATCACAACAACTTAACACTCTAAGTTATTATACCCATGATCCACCAAACACTGTAGTCTGACTCTGAAAGGGCCATTAAAAGCCATAATTTTATTAGTTGGAGGCTAATTACTTTACAATATTGTAGTGGTTTTTGTCATACATTGACATGAATCAACTAATAAAAATAAACGGGAAAAAAAAGAAGCCATGATTTGGCATTTCACATTATGTGAAAGCTGCTTTCTCTAAAGCCTTTTGGTTTTTTTCAGTATCCTGACACAGAAGTTTAGAATTTTTAAACCATCCTATATGAGCAAGTATAAGACACACTTATATATTACCCCCAGGTTTTTTCAAGGTCAGGGGCAAATGACTATATCAATGCTCACCTGGAGGATTTCTCGGCAAATATATGCAATCCAATCTTCCTTCAAACTCTGATTTCTGGTCATTCTCACTACATCAGTGACTGAGCCTGCTGCACATAACTCCATCACCATCTGCAGGGAAGCCAGCAAAGAAAGTATCAAGACTTAGAAAGTAGTTTTCTGAAAATATCTGGAGAGTTTTAGTTCATATGGCTTACATGTATATGTTATGTTTAGACATTAAGATACTGCAAAGACTGGCTTAATTGTCTGGTAGGAAGCTAGTAGAATTGGAAAGTACTGAAAAAAAAATCCAAAGATCTCTGGAGGGAGAGAAAGTAGGTACCACACCAGGGATTTTTAAAGCAGGAGGTGGGATCTGAGTTAAGCTTTGAAGGATACGTTCTATTTGGATATGCTGAGAAAGAAGAACATTCAGCTTATTGAAAACAGAATGAGCACATGCCTTTAGAAAAAAAACTTGCACAGGGCTAAGCCTGAGTGATGACTGGAGTAGAACAAAAAAGACAGTTGAGGGAATAATTTGAGGGTGGAAAAACAGGACATGGAGGGGATCTCAAAACAATTGACGCTTAAACATTGACTAGATTTGTTTTTATTGCTGTTTTATTTTCTTTTTTTTGTTTTTTTTTTTTCATTTATTTATATTAGTTGGAGGCTAATTACTTTACAATATTGTAGTGGTTTTGCCATACATTGATATGAATCAGCCATGGGTTTACATGTGTTTATTTTCAAGTTTTAGAATATTTTCCCCAAGATACTGGCAAAACACAACCTGAAGGGGGAAACTGTCAGTTCCACTACTGTAGGGAAATTTTTTCCAAATAAACTGCTAAGGAAAGTCTATTTTAAGGCTAATATTCTGACAGTGTCTCATTCAGATTTTACTTTATTAACAAATGCAATTTCTCAGGAAATTTGTTTTTGCCACTAATGAATCAGGTGCGCAACTAGTAAATTTGCTTTCATATATTAGCTAACTAGAGGACTGACCAATGTGAAAGAGAATCTGACTATTATAATCAATTTCACAAACTTTTCTTTAAGTAAAGGTTTTGCACTAGTGCCAGTGTCAAATGTCAATACTACTTTGTCAGTAGAACAAGACATGCCTTTTTTAAAAAAAACTATAGGTAAGTTAATTATTGCCATAGATGAAAAGAAGTAAAAGGATAGGCCCCAAATCATGAATATTTAAAAGGTATACCTTATTTCCTTTTGGAATGCTAAGATTTTCCTTTCAGAAAATTACTTCCTTATTTCATATTTGTCCACAACTGATATAACACAGAGTCTTTTACCTGAGTACACTATTCCAATAAACGAAGATAAGAAAAGCAGCCTAACAAACCAGATACTACAGATAAAGCACAAAAAGGTTAATTTTCATGTCTACTATATCGAATGGTTACAACATATACACTGTGGTATTGGAAGAAAGGGGCTCATTTTGAACCATGACAAACATGAATTAAAGTCATTCACTAAGGTGAACACTGGAAAATTTTGCCAGTATTACCCGACTCAGAAGAGTTCTACTATGAAAAGAATGCAAGATGTTCTCATTTTTCCCGAATTTGTATGCACAGTGCCTGGCTATACTTTATAAATGGTAATTATTTTGTTATTTGCTTCCTAGGTGTTCAGATTTACATAGGAAAGAAAGTGTGAATGGTCCCAGGAAAACTCTTACCTCAACAAATAACTTTTGCATGCAGTGCCTATTTATTCTTCAGATATCAGTGTAAGAAAATGTTTCTCATGGAAGAGTTTTCCTTTCCCTAACTTAGATTCCTTTGTTATTTGCCCACAAAAAAAGCATGTTACTTCCCTTCTGACCAATTATACATTTATTTGTGTGATTATTTGATTGATATTTGTCTTCACAAACAGACTATAAGCTCCAGTGGGCCAGATCCATGGAAATTCAGCTTATGATTGTATCCTCAGCATCTAGGAGAAAGCCTGGAAACAGATAGCTTTCGAATGAATAGATGTTATATGACTGAATTAATTGAGCACTGAGAAACATATCTAATAAGTAGACTGCCACATTGTCAAGAGAAAAAAACTTGTAAAAATATATTTAAAGACAAATGCTGTATGCCCCTCCAAAAGAAAAGAAAAACAGTAGTCATGAAAAATGCACAGTGGTATTTAACAAAATTTGAACTGGCATTGTCAGAGAATAGAGGATTTAGTTAACTGGACATTTGGGAGAAAATAGGTTTAAACTGAAGATCTCTAAATTTGAGGGTTCTCAAAATGTGGTACCCAGATGAGTATCATCAACATCACTTGTAAACTTATTAAAAAGTGCAAATTTGTGGACTCCCCACCCAAGACTAACTGAATTAATAACTCCATGGGTGGGGCCCAGCAATCTGTTTTTATTAGGATTTCAATGAAATTCTGTTGCAGGCTAAAGTTTGAGAACCACAACTTCAATTCAACATCTTGTTGAAACCTTCCTATATTGCCCACTATCCTGCTTCTTTTTTTTTTTTTTTCTCCATTTATTTTTATTAGTTGGAGGCTAATTACTTTACATCATTACAGTAGTTTTTGTCATACATTGAAATGAATTAGCCATGGATTTACATGTATTCCCCATCCCGGTCCCCCCTCCCACCTCCCTCTCCACCCGATCCCTCTGGGTCTTCCCAGTGCACCAGGCCCGAGCACTTGTCTCATGCACCCACCCTGGGCTGGTGATCTGTTTCACCCTAGATAATATACATGTTTCAATGCTGTTCTCTTGAAACATCCCACCCTCGCCTTCTCCCAGAGTTCACAAGTCTGTTCTATACATCTGAGTCTCTTTTTCTGTTTTGCATATAGGGTTATCGTTACCATCTTTCTAAAGTCCATATATATTAGTTCACATATAAAATGTAACAGAATCTTTCTCTGACTCTTAAAAATTCTGAAAAGTCTCAGGTATTATTTAAAAGATACTACTCTTAACGTGGACTAGAAAGGCAAGAGAATGTACACGGACCCCAGATGATGTTCTAAATATTCCTTTTAAAACAAAGATATATTTGATTGAAGCTCACTTTCTTATGGTTTGATTATGTCTCTATAGGAGAGGGAAGCAACAATTCTGGTAACTGTAGCATGGGTTTCAGTTAGCCTTTAAAATTTATAGCTCATTGATTTGTAATTCATGATGCTATAGGCATGAAGCCTAAGAAAAGGATAAGTCAACTAACCATTTAGAAAAACAGTTTCTAGGAATTATGTTTAAAGATAATTGCACTTAGCAAACACTTAAATTGTACTCATATACTCATTCCAAGTGTGACTTAGAATAGATATTTATTATTCAGTCATTGGGCCCAAATCCATCAGGTCATCTCCTTAGCTATACCTTTAATTTATAAGCAAATGTATTAGCTACATAAAGTTAAAAGCAGCAAAACTCTATTTGAAAAGAAATATGTTAGATATTTCCAGTATTCATTTGAGTCTTCTTACACCCTACCCCCAAACCCCTTGCCAGTTACTTAATTTACTTTTCCATATTTTATCACTCCCATTTCCAGGAATTAGAGCACATTTTTTTCATACTACTTTGAGCAGCTGCATGCTTAAGTTCTTCTGTAGGTGCACAAAAATGACATCTCAGTTTATGAAAGTATATGTTCTGAAGTGAGACAGTCTTATGCAATAAGATCAAGGTAACTAAAATACACACCCAAAGTTGATGCCTCTGGCCAGGGGGACTCAGCTTGAAAAATGCACCATAGAAGGATACAATGTTCTTGTGGAAAGAGTACTTCTTCAAAAGGTTGAGTTCAGTCCTGAGATCCTCTTCTTCATCCTACAGAATAACGATAGTAAAATTCCTAAGCTATGCCACTCAATGACTATGGTATCCTAAGCTATAGTAGATCAAAGAAAGAGAATCAAATACCCCACAACAATGTATAATAAAATCTCAACTAGAATTCTCAGAATGGAGATGTGGGATTAACTGGGAATTTGGGAGAAAATAAAGGTCAACTGAATAACTTTTAATTCAATGGTTCTTAAAGTATGACCCCTGGACCAGCAGTGACAACTGTATGAAGTTTGCACTAAATGGACTAACCCAATTAAACTGCAAAAGTCAATGGTTTTAGTATATTAAAAAAATTATTCAACCATTGAACATTTTTATCACCCCAAAAGGAAATCCCATACTCTTTATCACCCCCAAATTCTGCCACCACATCCCAGCTTCAAACAATCACAAATATTTTTTCTATCTCTATAGATTTATCTATCCTTAACATTGTATATAAATGAAAATAATATAGTATATAAACTTTTATGACTAGTTTGTTTTCCCCCCAGGGTTCATCCATGTTGTAATACATATCAGTATTTCATTCTTTTTTATTTACCATTCAGCAACTGAATGAGTTATTTCTACCTTTTATCTAGTATGAATAATGCTGCTATGAACATTCATTTCAACTTTAATGTAGATATATATTTTCATTTCCCTTTGCTATATACCTAGGAGTAAAATTGTTGGGTCAAACGGTAATGCTATATTTAACATTTTGATGAAATGTCAAACTGTTTTCCATAGTGGTATACCATTTTACATTCCCAAATGAATGATGGTTCTCATTTCTCTATACCCTCACCTCACACTCATTATTTTCTGTCTAATTATTATAACACCATAGTGGGTGTAAAGTGATTATCTCATTGTAGTTTTATTTGCAACTCCCTGAAGACTGATGGAGTTAAGGATCTTTTCGTGGGCTTATGAGCCATTTTATGATCATCAGAGGTGTGTCTAATAAAATATCTTTGCCCCTATTTTTAAGTTGGGTCACTTGTCTTTTTATGATTGAATTGTAAGATTTATTTATATATTCTATATATAAGTACTTTATAAGATATATGATTTGCAATTAATTTCTCCCATTCTGTGAGCAGTCATTTTACTTTCATGATAGTGTCTTTTGAGGCACAAAATTTTGAATTTTGATGAAGTCCAATTTATCCATTTCTTGTTTTGTTGTTTGTACTTTTGGTGTCATATCTAAGGATCTCTTATCAAATACAAGGTCACCAAATGAACTCCAATCTTTTCTTCCAAACATTTTATAGTTTTATATCTTACATTTAGGTTTTTTATACATTTTGAGTTAATTTTCATAGAAAGCAGGGAACCAATTTCATTTTTTATTTTTTAATTTTTTATTAGTTGGAGGCTAATTACTTTACAACATTGTAGTGGTTTTTGTCATACATTGACATGAATCAGCCATGGATATACAGGATAAGGAAGCTGTGATACATATACACCATGGAATATTACTCAACAATTTCATTCTTTTACCTGTGGATATCTAGTTACCTCAGCATTATTTGTTGAAAAGTCTAGTCTTTCCCTATAAATCATGTTTTCATTCATGTTGAAAATTAGTTGACCACAGATAAATGGAAATAATTCTATTTCACTGATCTATATCAAAAAAGCAAAAGAGTTCCAGAAAAACATCTATTTCTGCTTTATTGACTATGCTAAAGCCTTTGACTGTGTGGATCACAATAAACTGGAAAATTCTGAAAGAGATGGGAATACTAGACCACCTGACCTGCCTTTTGAGAAACTTGTTTGCAGGTCAGGAAGCAACAGTTAGAACTGGACATGGAACAACAGACTGGTTCCAAATAGGAAAAGGAGTATGTCAAGGCTGTATATTGTCACCCTGCTTATTTAACTTATATGCAGTGTACATCATGAGAAACACTGGGCTGGAAGATGCACAAGCTGGAGTCAAGATTGCCAGGAAAAATATCAATAACCTCAGATATGCAGATGACACCACCCTTATGGCAGAAAGTGAAGAGAACTGAAGAGCCTCTTGATGAAAGTGAAAGAGGAGAGTGAAAAAGTTGGCTTAAAGTCCAACATTCAGAAAACTAAGATCATGGCATCTGGTCCCATCACTTTATGGCAAATAGATGGGGAAAGAGTGACAGACTTTATTATTTTGGGCTCCAAAATCACTGCAGATGGTGATTGCAGCCATGAAATTAAAAGACGCTTGCTCCTTGGAAGGAAAGTTATGACCAACCTAGACAGCATATTAAAAAGCAGAGACATTACTTTGCCAACAAAGGTCCGGCTAGTCAAGGCTATGGCTTTTTCAGTAGTCATGTATGGATATGAGAATTGGACTATAAAGAAAGCTGAGTGCCGAAGAATTGTTGCTTTTGAACTGTGGTATTGGAGAAGACTCTTGAGAGTCCCTTGGACTGCAAGGAGATCCCACCAATCCATCCTAAAGGAGACCAGTCCTGGGTGTTCATTGGAAGGACTGATGTTGAAGCTGAAACTCCAATACTTTGGCCACCTAATATGAAGAGCTGACTCATCTGAAAAGACCCTGATGCTGGGATTGAGAGCAGGAGGAGAAGGGGATGACAGAGGATGAGATGGTTCGATGGCATCACCGACTCAATGGACATGAGTTTGGGCAGGCTCCCGGGGTTGGTGATGGACAGGGAGGCCTGGTGTGCTGCAGTTCATGGAGTTGCAAAGAGTCGGACACGACTGAGCTACTGAACTGAACTGCACTGATCTATATGTCTATCCTTATGCTTGTATCACGTTGCCTTAATTGAATTTTAAAGTTTCTAGTTTGATTTGTCCTATAATTTTAAAAGATATGCTTAAATTCATTATTTTCCTAATCACTACAGTAGTAAATATGTTAAAAAGCTATCAATCAATCCAGTGGTCTGAATTCCTAGTAGCTATAAATTTCATTTCATCGCAAATAAAAAAAGCTCTCCTACAGCATCTATAAAAGTTCAATTTATATAACTGTTTCAGGAATACTCTCACTGTACAGAGTGAGATATATTTGTAGTATGTGAAGAAAAGAAGACTTTTAAAGATAAAGTTAAACTCCTGTTCTGAAATCCAGTGAAAAAGGATACCTTTGACTTATTCTGGGCAATGAATTAGAACATGGCCCACTGGCATTAAAAGTAATTAATGGGTGAACCTCTAACTATCTTTAGTTATCCCCAGCATTTCCCTTAATTAACTTGACTTGACAACCTTGAGGTCGTGGAAAATACATCTGTACAACATTCTTTAGCATTTCCCTAGGATTTTCCAGTGGATTTATTCATAAACATTCAACAATTATAAAACAAATCTAGACACCTGAATGTCTTTGGGGGAGGGGATAGAGCCTTATTTCTCCACTTGGAAGCTCTAACATCAGGATTTGCATTTATTGTGCAATAAAAGCATGAAAATTAAAACAATCAACTGTAGCAGGAGAATTATATAGAAGTTCAGGTTCCAGTTTCACCCTAGCCTCCCAAGGAAGCTTGGTTGATAAGTTGCCTTCACATTCCCTTAACCTGTTTAGCTAAAGGCTAATCCTCGTGGCTTTCATTCTTGCCATATAGGACCCTTAAACTTTCTGCTTCCCTTGTGATGTTGTTATTCTTTGAAATGATAACAATATCTGCCATCATATAGAAATAAACCTTAGAAATTAGCAATTCTAAATGTAGAGGGGGTACTCTCAGTTTCTAGCAAGGCACAAAGGTTCTGCTGAGAGAAATATGAACTCATAAAGACTGCAATAAATAAGAATGAGATGATAACGTGAGGATAAGAACACAAAGAACAGGTTAAAGAGAAGTGCGGGCCAGATTGAGTCCTTCAACTTGTTTGGTAGTTTGATATCAAAGAACTTCCTTTTCTTTCTGAGCTAGAAACCTCATGTCCTCGAGCAGGAAGAGAACAGCTGGGCTCCTGGCAACTATGTAGTTTTATTTAACTATACTTTTATTCTTGTTATAGGTAGGCTAAATATTCTGGTGCCATTTTACCTATGAGAAACCTGACGACTAGAGAGGTAAGGCCATTTTTCCAAGTACTTCTTAGCTATTTAGCAGTAGACTTGGCATTGGAACTCATGTTTCTTGACTTCCACACTACTGCTATTTTCGTAAACCCCTGATTAATGAGATGTGTGTGCAAGTCACAAACTTCTTACCCCAAAGGGTTCAGGATGATTTAGAGATGCTAACTGGCCGATCAATTATTTTTCTTACTAAAATATATAATCAGAGAACTCAAAGCTCCCAACTAGAAAAACTTCTAAGAGTGGGTCTCCCACATAAATGTAAACTCCCCCAAAACCAATAAACCAAGATCAGACATGTTTGGAAAGCATTAGTATGTTTGCCACTCTCAATTAACAGGAAGTTGAGCTTGTGAGAAACACATAAGTACATTATATCCATCAGGCCAAGTGGGTAATTTAAAACTCTCACATATATCCTGGTAATATGATGCTATAGCATTTCCTGGCTCAAGGCCAGTTGATCCCAAGTGGCCTGAATATCCTGCTTTTTGTCAAGAAGAGGCAGCTCAAGGATGCCAAAACTTGAATTGCAATTTCACCCAATTCTAAAATCTAAGTATTTTACCCTATAGAAAGACTTCAGAGAGAGTTTGGAGATGATCTTCAAATGAATTAACCCAAATATTTGATAAAACCAGAATTAGTGAAAAAATTATAATTTTCATACCTTACCTTTTAAAGCTATTTGATTAACATAAGCATTACCTCTTACATTTAGATATGCTTTGTCTCCCAAGAAACACTGTAAACAAAACAGGAGCCCAGTACTTTTAAACTAATCATGAAACTGTTTACCGATACTGTCTTAATATAACTAGAAAGTTCTTCTGGATCTGATTATTAATGGAAAAGCTTATTTTTAAATGAGTCTGGAAGCATATTTATTAAGATACAAAAGGTTGAAAATATTTGAATACTAGATAGCTAACTGCAGGGGAGAAAATCAAGAAAAAATGTCAGTTATATTGTTAGAACAAAATTCTATATTTAGGCCCCCAGAATATTTGATAGATTACTAACATCTAGATTATCAAGATCTACTGAAAAAGAATATCCTTTGCCAGAGCTTATTCTAGAGCCAGCAAATTATCAGAGTAATAGAGACTGCTTTGTAAGGCAGTTAAAAAGCTTCAGGTAGAAATCACCTTCCCATTCCTTCATGTATTCAAGTACTGTGTCAGATGTCTGAACATTCAGGCTGGGTAGCCTGTTGGTTTTCTGTCTATGACTGTTCTCTCACACATGAAGAGAGTAGTCTTCATTGGGCTCATACATGATGGCAATGTCTCTAAGAGTCTTGATGGGGGACAAGCCAGGCAGTCCAGAATATCATGTAAAAGGTATGACAAGAATCTTGCCAAGGCCAATTTTAGACTTCCCTGGTGGCTCAGTCGGTAAGGAATCTGCCTATAATGTGGGAGACCTGGGTTTGGTCCCCCGGTCAGGAAGAACCCCTGGAGAATGGCATGGCAACCCACTCCAGTATACTTGTCTGGAGAATCTCATGGACAGAGGAACCTGGTGGGCTACAGTCCATGGGGTTGCAAGGAGTTGGACACGACGGAGTGACTAAGCACATAAGGCCAATTTTAGACAAAATTCACTCTTGTTCCCATCATCTCTTTTGTTTATTCTTCAGCTAGTGGGCTATACGTGCTGTGAATTTACTTAAGTCATTCACCTGCAGTCAACACTTACCTGTTCAGTGTACCATTTCTTCTAGGCCTTACTTTCGAAAAGATGCTAGTGTTCAAATATGATGAATGAATCTATGTCAGTACATTAAAAGCATAAATATCACTTTTAGGCAAGAAGAGTTTAGTGGTGGCCTTCTACAGATAATGATATAATACAAAGGGATTAGTTTAAAGTTGAAAATTAAAGGAAAGATGGCTTTGGACGCTAATGAAGACTTTCAGTACTCACACTGTATCTCCAGCCGACAGACTTTTGATATTTATTCACTCTCACTCGCCTTCCTATTTCAGGTAAAGGGGTCTGCAAAGCCAAGAACAGAACTTTATTAAATGCATTGGTACACTCTGAAAATGATTTATTCTTGAGTACTTTGTGCTTAAGTACTAAATGAAAGAGTAACATAATTCCTCTCTCAATTTTCACTAATAGTTTTAATTAAAAAAATCAGATTCTTATATACACAGAAACTTGGCAAAAAATTCATAGTAACAGATTTAACTGCCATTTATGGAATAGTACAATTTGATGATTGTAAAGTGCTATTTCTTCTAACAAACAAGGTAATTGACACTATCTATGGGCTGAACATGTTAACTGTTTCAAGTCAGAGTATCTAAAACGTAGATTAAATGTAGGTCAAAGTCTATTAAGTCGAAAAAGAGGGAATATGTATTTTAGAGGGTCTCACTCAAAGAATACCAAGCTGATTATTTGGAAGTCGTGGTTTACAGGGTAAAATAAATCCACAACACCTCAAAATTCATTTGACATTTACTGATGAAACAAAAAACAAGCAACTCTTTAAATAGCTTCAGCAATTCACTTCCTGCACAAATTGGAAAAGAACAGTTTATGGCGTTGATAACAATTCAGTGACTATGTACACTTTTTCAAAGATGATATTTTAGAATCTTCTTTTAGGTTATAGTGAAGTGAAAATATTTTGACCTTTGTTATGCCCATGCTAATATTATCCTGAGAAAGTGAGGTACTCATGCTAAAGAAAGAGGACAGAAATCAGGGCTTAGCATAATCTATGACAATATATTATGACCCATGACACAGCTTTATGAACGTTAGTCAGAACACTGCCAATTAAACTCTCTCCTGTGCATCTGTTAAAAAATACATGAAAAAAAAGTGTATCTCAGACAAGTTCTTTTCCTTCTACCTGTCACTGAAAACCTAATGGACTGAGTTTTCAAAAGGAATTGTTGGGGAGGGAAAGAAATATGATAAAAAAGAGGAGTAACAAAATATTAGAGGAAATTTACTGTTTACTGTGCCTGGGAATAGATAAGCAACTAGAAATAGACAGGAATATGGATTTTTTTCATTTTTATAAAATACAAGAATATATAGGACTTTTGCTGTGATTACAATTTTTGTGTAAATGTAATAAATCAATAATAAAAATAACAGTGATAGAAATAATATTAAATTACAAATAAATGCAAATTAAGATAATTATATATAACAATGATGCAGAAAACAAATACAATATTTTCTGAGCGGTTTATCCCAAGACCACAGTCCACTAAGCAACAGAATACAGACAGGATGTAATATTACCTTACGAGCATTCATCACTTTCACAGCTGTAAATGCACCAGTCTTTTCATGGAGTCCCTGAAACATAAGATAGTAATAAACATTGAATACTGGCTATATAATCCAGCAATCAAGAAGCAAAGTAAAAAAAATATTAAAATTAAATAAGGTTAAATACTGTAGTCTATTATGAAATATAAAGTATTATAGAGAGATGAACTATAATGTATTATATAAACCAAAGCATCCTGATGAAAAGTAAAAATTTCAGGCTGGAGATAGGGAAAAAGGAAATGTTTTACTGAACATTTTTCAACTGATTATGTGGTACTATGCAGACAGATATTTCTATCGAACTCCTCTTCATATACTTAAAAAAGTTTTTTCCATAATTATCACAGATAAGAGTGACACATAATTAATTCAATGGCCTATAAACCATTCAGTGTGTCTCAATCATATGAACCATAGATATTTATGAACAGAAGTTCTGAAAGATTCTTTTCTTATTGAAAGTCCTCTGAGTTCTAAGAACTTGCATTTATACAAAATGCAAGTACAAGTTACAGATTTATAATTTTCAAAAATTAGCACAGAGGTTGGGAATAAGACTTCTTATTTTGTAACTAATGCCTTTTAAAATATTTCAAGCTGAAATCATAGAGAAAAATCAGTCTGATATTGATATGAGTAAGGCTTGAACTTGAAACAGATTTTTTTCCCCTAGGAGACTGCATTCTTTGGCTGGACTGGGTTAGACAATATTTCCCCAGAATTGAGGTTCACCCATAACTTCAGATTGTGACTTTTCTCAAAAATAGGGTCTTTGCAGATGTAATCAAGTTAAATGAGGTTGTATTAGATTACCATGGTCAATGACTGGTATGTTTATAAGAGAAAGGTGAGGGATATTTGGACACACACAGAAACAGAACATGGCCATATGAAGACAGGAAGAAAGTGGAGTGATGCAGCTATAAGCCAAAGGATGCCAAGGATTGCTGGCAACCACTAGAAGCTAGGAAGAGGGAAGGAAGTATTCTTCCCTAGAACCTTTAAAGGGAGAATGGCTCTGCAGACTTACAGCCTTGAGAACTATGAGAGAATAAATTTCTGAAGTTTAAAGCCACCTAATTTGTGGATTTGTCACTGCAAGTGTAGTAAAATAATATGGGGGCAAAACAAAGAACTGTTAGTAGTCACAGATCTCAGGCGAAATACAGCCACATTTTTAAATGTAATAGAATGATCAGATGAGGGGGTGTGGTGTTTCTGGACAGTATTTTTAATATCTTGGGTAACGTGCCAAGTGAGTAGCTATGCAAGAGATCAAGATTCCTTGAATTCAGGACAGTGATCCTTAAATATATTGCTTATCTGTTGTCATACCTCTCTAATAAAAATATGTGCTTTGAAGTATATGAAAACAAAGTAGAAGTTTTCATATATTTTAGATGACTCCTACAAGTATTCTCATCAAAATAAAGCCAATTGATCAAAGAAGCTTGAAAGAAAAGAAGCCCACTCTACCATTACCACCAATGTTACATGAGTGTCAAAACTGTTTTTTCCATGATATGATTGATAGGATTTAATCCTGTACATTCAAGGTTACTTCAGTTCTATTGAACAAGCCACTGTTTGTAAATGAAGGTTTGTAAATGAAGACATGTGTCATAAACAGATCAGTAGGCTTTCAAAGAAATAAAGTAACTAGAAATACCAGCACTTTGAATTGAACTAGGCATTAAGCAGCTATACTGGTTAAATGGTTGAAGCACTGATGAGAAGTGGCATGGATTACTGGTTTCAGTTTATGGAGTCAGGCCTGTGAGTTGTGTCAAGGTGGTTTTTATTCAACTGTGTTCTCAAAAAAAAATGCTAAAGTTACTAACTATTGGTACCTCTGAATATGACCTTTTTTTTTTTGGAAACAGGGCCTTTGCAGATATAAGCAACTTAAGATAATGTCATACTGAATTAGTTCAGTTCAGTTCAGTTCAGTCACTCAGTCGTTTGCGACCCCATGAATCGCAGCACGCCAGGCCTCCCTGTCCATCACCAACTCCCAGAGATTACTTAAACTCATGCCCATTTGAGTCAATGATGCCATCCGGCCATCTCATCCTCTGTTGTCCCCTTCTCCTCCTGCCCCCAATCCCTCCCAGTATCAGGGTCTTTTCCAATGAGTCAACTCTTCACGTGAGGTGGCCATAGTACTGGAGTTTCAGCTTGAACATCAGTCCTTCCAATGAACACCCAGGACTGATCTCCTTTAGGATGGACTGGTTGGATCTCCTTGCAGTCCAAGGGACTCTCAAGACTCTTCTCCATTGACATGAATCAGCCATACATATTAATGTATGGCAAAAACCACTACAGTATTATAAGGTAATTAGCTTTCAACTAATAAAAATAAATGAAAAATAAAAAAGAGTCTTCTCCAACACCACAGTTCAAAAGCATCAATTTTTCGGTGCTCAGCTTTCTTCACAGTCCAACTCTCACATCCATACATGACCACTGGAAAAACCATAGCCTTGACCAGACGGACCTTTGTTGGCAAAGTAATGTCTCTGGTTTGTAATATGCTATCTAGGTTGGTCATAACTTTAGGGATGGCCCTAAAACCAATAACTAGTGACCTTATAATAAGGGGAAATTTTGGACACAGATACGCAGGGAGAACGCCATATGATGACAGAGGCAGAAATTCGACTGGTATGTCTACAAGGATTGTTGGCAATCACCCAAAGCTAGAAGAGGCAAGGAATCTTCCTTCCTAGTCCCTCCAGAGGGAGAATGGCCCTATAGTCACTTTGATTCTGGAATTCTAGCCTCTAGAATTGCGAGGGAATAAATTCCCTTTCTTTTAAGCCATCAAGTTTGTGGTTAATTTGTTATAGTAGACCTTGAAAACTAGTACACAAGGCTAGCCTGATGGAAACTAAGCAAGGGAATGGGGCTGGATTTGTGATAGTGTTCAGAAATTAATGATCAAAGTATAAGGAAATATCTAGGATCAGGTGAGCAGTTTTGGGTGGAACATGACAGCTACCAAAGACTAGAATTTTTAAAGGAAATGAAAATGTTGTAAGTTATTGATTGATCAGAGAAAAGTAATTAATATTTTAGATATTAATGCCTTATCAGATAGATGATTTGCAAATATGTTCCCCCATTCTGTAGGTTGCCTTTTCATTGTGCTGATGGTTTCTTTCACTATGCAGAAAGTTTTTTGCTTGATGTAGTCCCACTTTATTATTTTTGCTTTTGCTGCTTGTGCTTTTGGTGTCATATCCAAAAAATCCTTTTGAAGACCGATGTCAAGAAGTTTTTCCCACTATGTTCTCTTCTCAGGAGCTTTACAACTTCAGGTTAAGTCTTTAATCCATTTTGTGTTAACTTTCAAACTGGGGTAAGATAAGGGTCCAATTTTAATCTCTTGCATGTGGAAATTTAAATATGTTGGAAACTCCCACATTAATTTATAGATCTGGGAAAATATATATTAAAACTTTTATCTATGCAGCCCTTATCATGACATAGAAAGTACTGTTTTTCTAATTATTCACATAAACACTTTCTAGTCAAAGTTTACTCACATCTGTATGCACAAATATAACATGCTGGAAACTGGTTCTCACGCAGCCTTTAGAGGAGTTAAAATGTTTACCCCTTGATTCTAAGAGGTTTTTGTGAGCCAAACTACTATCCTGTGCAACACAAATATTTGGCATGTTAGCAAAGTTAAGGACAGGGAATCCTGGCATGTGACAAGATCTACAGTGAATAAACCACAAAATTTTTAAACATATGGAACACACAGCCATCATATTCATGACATATATTAGTGAGATAACATCTTTAAAAGATGCCACCAATTGCCATAGAACAGAGAAAATCAACTTGGCTCCATCTTTATTATCTGGGTTTTATTCTCTCAACTGAAAACTACAATTATTTTTCTGATTAGACAAGGTATGCTAATGAGGAGTCTTAAAAAACCATGCTCACTATGTCTATAGAGGAATTAAACCCCAGATTGTGGAACCAAGCACAGGGTTAACATGCCTAACCATTATGCAAGTTTTCATAGAAGTCTAGAATATCCAGGCAATAAATGGAAAATTGCTGCCTGTTAACTTAGTATATCAGAGGCTACTTTCTGTATCTTGACTTTTAAAATATTTTTTATTTTAAATAGTAATTTCAGACTTAGAGTAAAGTTTTAAAGATAGTACAGAGTGCTTCTCTATATCCTTTACACTGTTTCTTTTAAATGTTAACATCTTAATGACCATGGCACAACTGTCAAAACTAAGAAATTAATATTGGTCTAATACTCTTAACGACATTATAATCCTTATTAGGATTTCCTCAGTCTCCCCACTAATGTCCTTTTTGTCAGACCCAAAATGGGATCCTGCCTTCTATTTAGTTGTCATGTCTCCTTAGGCTTTTGTAATCTGTGATAGTGCTCAGTCTTTTCTGTTTTTCATGAGCTTCACACTTTTCAGAAGTACTGGTCAAGTATTCTATAGAACGTCCCTCACTTTGGGTTTGTCTGATGTTTTCTCATGACTAGACTGAGATCATGGGTTTGAGGAAAGAACACCATGGGAGTGAAGTGCCCTTCTCATCACATCATGTCACAAGTACATGGTATGACCATAACTGATCATTGGTGATATTAACCTAGATCACTTGGTTTAAGTGATATCTGCTAGGTTTCTTTTTTCCCTATTTCCCCCTCTCATATTCTACTCATTCTATCAATCAGAAGTGATTGATGTTGGTTTCGAAGAGGGATAACACTATTCTTGAGCATTTATCTAGAGAACTTAGATGTCATCTTGAGATAAACTATTTGTTTAGTGGTGGCATCTTGTGGTTCATTGAAGTTGTTATATGATCTTGATTTTAGCTGAAGGTCATGTTGTCATAAGCAGATTGCCTATCAAATAAGATGTTGAACTAGGACCAGCAAATTCTATTTCTAGGATGTGCCTTTTTTCAGTTACAATATATGCTTTAAGAAAAATTAATTTAAAACACCATTTTTTGAAAACACACAT